TCTTTACTGAATTTGGTCATAAACTGGGATTCATAACAGTACAAGAACAAGTATGCTATTAAAGGGGTGCAATTGGTGCCCATAGGAATACCTATAACCTGTCGATATATATTAACCTCATTTTCATGGTAGGCCAATGCTAAGTTTTTTGTGATTAGGTCGGTTTCTCAGATACTATAAGTAGGAGGTCAACTATATTTGGTGTATTGAACTATTTTAAAGTGTAACTGTCCCACTAGCAGAGTTCATCTGACCTCATTTTCATGGTTCATACATCAATCAAGTTTTCTAAATTAGGCCCGTTTCTTAGATACTCTATGCAGGTCAACTTTTTTTTTTGGTGAATGGAACGATTGTAAGATGTACATATGTGTTTGGCAGGGTTCATCTGACCATGACCTCATTTCCATGATTCATTTGTCAACATTAAGTTTGTTTGGTTACACCCTTTTCTCAGATATTTTAAGCAAGAGGTCAACCATTTGATGACTCAATGATTGTAAGGTATACATGTCCATCTGGCAGGGTTCATGACAGAAACCTTATTTTCATGGATCTTGATAAAGTTAAGTTCATGTGATATCTACAGTAAAATCTTGATCTTAAAAATGTTCAACATCAAATTCAGTCAAGATTATCAAAGCAGGTGAGACATCTTTATGTGTGCACTATAGCTTATTTTAACCCAGATTTTTTTAATTTCATAGCTATTGAGGTTGTGCATTTTCCATGATAGAGTTCTGTAAAGATGTTTTACGATTTTATCTTTCCATATATATAAATGTTCATTACAATCTAATCTGCACTGTTCAAGAAACATTCTGTGCACCATCTGAGTCTTTAATCCATTTTGTTATCAACCAACAAGGCAAATAACTTTGGAAATATGATGATGTTCTTTTGCACCTTTATAGGTCACCATGCCAACAAAATTAAGTTACTAGTTTACTGCTCATGCTTAATAACTGAGAAGAATTGATGCCAGAGTACTATCTCATTAACAAGTTGCTTCTTGCTCGTTAAAAGATACATATGGTAAACAATAGGTATATATATATATATCAAGTAATTTAAGACATTTTAAAAATCCCTATTGGTGAAAATCAATAAAGCATTTTATGGTAATAAAATGATATAAATACACAGGTGAACAAGAAAGGCTCTTTGTTTGATGAGCTTACTTCTAGATAGAATTGTTTTTACTAGTACATTATGAGTAATGAGCATTTGAAAGAGGAGGGTAGCGATCTATGGTTTAAGTACACTATAAATTCATGTACCTGCACCAAGTCTGGTATCTCATCAGTGGTTGTCATGTCATATCTTAATGTAAGTTATGTTTAAGTCCACTACAAATTCATGTACCTGCACCAAGTCTGGTATCTCATCAGTGGTTGTCATGTCATATCTTAATGTAAGTTATGTTGAAGTCCACTATAAATTCATGTACCTGCACCAAGTCTGGTATCTCATCAGAGGTTGTCATGTTACATCTTAATGTAAGTTATGTTTAAGTCCACTATAAATTCATGTACCTGTACCAAGTCTGGTATCTCATCAGTGGTTGTCATGTCATATCTTAATGTAAGTTATGTTGAAGTCCACTATAAATTCATGTACCTGCACCAAGTCTGGTATCTCATCAGTGGTTGTCATGTCATATCTGAATGTAAGTTATGTTTAAGTCCACTATAAATTCATGTACCTGTACCAAGTCTGGTATCTCATCAGTGGTTGTCATGTCATATATTAATGTAAGTTATGTTTAAGTCCACTATAAATTCATGTACCTGCACCAAGTCTGGTATCTCATCAGATGTTGTCATGTCACATCTTAATGTAAGTTATGTTTAAGTCCACTACAAATTCATGTACCTGCACCAAGTCTGGTATCTCATCAGTGGTTGTCATGTCATATCTTAATGTAAGTAATGTTTAAGTCCACTATAAATTCATGTACAAGTACCAAGTCTGGTATCTCATCAGTGGTTGTCATGTCATATCTTAATGTAAGTTATGTTTAAGTCCACTTTAAATTCATGTACCTGCACCAAGTCTGGTATCTAATCAGTGGTCATGTCATATCTTAATGTAAGTTATGTTTAAGTCCACTATAAATTCATGTACCTGTACCAAGTCTTGTATCTCATCAGTGGTTGTCATGTCATATCTTAATGTAAGTTATGTTTAAGTCCACTATAAATTCATGTACCTGTACCAAGTCTGGTATCTCATCAGTGGTTGTCATGTCATATCTTAATGTAAGTTATGTTTAAGTCCACTATAAATTCATGTAGCTGCACCAAGTCTGGTATCTCATCAGTGGTTGTCATGTCATATCTTAATGTAAGTTATGTTTAAGTCCACTACAAATTCATGTACCTGTACCAAGTCTGGTATCTAATCAGTGATTGTCATGTCATATCTTAATGTAAGTTATGTTAAGTCCACTATAAATTCATGTACCTGCACCAAGTCTGGTATCTAATCAGTGGTTGCCATGTCATATCTTATGTAAGTTATGTTTAAGTCCACTATAAATTCATGTACCTGCACCAAGTCTGGTATCTCATCAGTGGTTGTCATGTCATATCTTAATGTAAGTTATGTTTAAGTCCACTACAAATTCATGTACCTGTACCAAGTCTGGTATCTCATCAGTGGTTGTCATGTCATATATTAATGTAAGTTATGTTTAAGTCCACTACAAATTCATGTACCTGCACCAAGTCTGGTATCTCATCAGTGGTTAACATGTCATATCTTAATGTAAGTTATGTTTAAGTCCACTATAAATTCATGTACCTGTACCAAGTCTTGTATCTCATCAGTGGTTGTCATGTCACATCTTAATGTAAGTTATGTTAAGTCCACTATAAATTCATGTACCTGTACCAAGTCTGGTATCTAATCAGTGGTTAACATGTCATATCTTAATGTAAGTTATGTTTAAGTCCACTATAAATTCATGTACCTGTACCAAGTCTGGTATCTCATCAGTGGTTGTCATGTCATATCTTAATGTAAGTTATGTTTAAGTCCACTATAAATTCATGTACCTGCACCAAGTCTGGTATCTCATCAGTGGTTGTCATGTCATCTGCACCAAGTCTGGTATCTCATCAGTGGTTGTCATGTCACATCTTATTTAGAGGATTTTTTGTTGATGGCTAATCTTAAAAGTTTAGGTTTCACTTGTTATATAGCCATGGGATGATTGAGAGCTTGACATTATGTATAGCTACCCATGACATTATGTATAGCCACCCATGACATTATGTATAGCCACCCATCTATTGTTAAATAAGTAAGAAAGTTGCCCTAGATTTTATGTTCTACAACCAGAGGGTGTACCTGAATTATGGTTTAAAGTAGAAGTTCCAAATTTATTTTAGAGCATATACCCTAAATCCAAATATACAAGTAATTAACCCATTAAGAGTCAATCCTTGAACTGGTTATGAAATGATCACCAGGCTTAAGGGTGTACCATTATTGATGTAAGAAAAATTCACAGGTCAATTTCACAAAGCTTTTGTCAAACAAAAGACTTGAAAGTTGATAATTGCTGCTTCTCTGCTCATTATATTGCCTTTAGGAGTAAAGAGCAAATACTGGTCGGCAAGGTTGACATCCTGTGGACTGTTACCTTGTGAACTATCACATTTAAAATCTGGCTCATCATGTCTGTCTAGAGCAAAGCATAGTTCATAATCATATCACATCAAAACTTTCTTGTCCTTATATTTTCCACTGGATGTTAAAAATACATCCATCTGTAGGCTAGTTAGCAATCCAGGGCCATTGGAAGGTTTTCTAAAGAGGGGTGCGAAGGAGGGTGGGTGTGGGAGGAGCTCTCCCCTCCCACAGTTTAGATTTTATTTGAAAATGAGTAAGCCAATTTCAGGGTTATATGCGTTTAAGAATGTCAAATACATGAATATCCATACTCTTCCAACACCCTTTTAAACGGTTATTTGGCTGATATTTACTTGAGGAAAACATATAAACCATAGATCGCACTGAAGGTACTATTTATTTCAACATATTATTAGCTTAAACCAATATAACAGTGGTAACGTTCAAAGTCAACTTTACAATTTCATTCATATGATAACGACAGAGACCATGCACACATCACCTTTGTTCCGCAATTATTCCGGATAAAATATAGCAATACCTTCTTATATACACATAGACCTACTTGTATTTGATCATGCTCTATTTGGAGATTTTAAAGACGACATGGCTTCACATGTCTTTCCAGTTTACTTTTATTATAAACACATCATGTGTTCATAATAAAAGTAAACTGAAAAGACAAATTTTATGAATGAACTACGTGTATCTTATTATAATATAATGGATTATAAGAAACAAGCAGTTAAATTAGCACTTGATTACTTTTTGTATTGCATGTAGTGAGTAAGTTGGTGATGTCTTTGTGTCATTGACCCATGTCCGTTCTTTTTCATACGTTATGATAACATTACTAATTGTAAGTTCCGATCAAAACCAGCAGACAGTGCGAGAAAAAGTTGAACATCTCCAAATGAAAAAAACAACAACAAACAATTCCAAGTTGCCAGAAAAATGTAATTTGCTGATTCTATAAATAATTACAAAGATAATCTCTCAAACTGTATCATAGGTGTCCTATTCTGTGGCAGCCTGATCACGGTAACCCGTGGAAGTGCTCATCCGTGCCTGAAATTTATTATTATATATTTTTTTTTTTTTTTTAAAGAGGGGTGCGATCGCACCGGACGCACCCCCCCTTCCTACAGCCTTGCAATAGCTCCAAATACATAATTTATTTATAGCTTATTAACTTCTGAACCCTTAACAGGACACTATTGATACTTAGAATGAATATTTCCTGTCATGGGATATTGTTTTTGTATAGGAACAATAAATCTAAAAGAACAATTTGTAACGAATTAACTTGCCTATCCAAGTTTGAACTAGGGTAAACAAAATCAAACGCTACAAGTCACACATTTGGTTTTCAGTTTAATTGCACAAAAGACATGTTAACACATAATAAATATGGCAGAATAAACAATGGCATGCCAATGAAGTCTGATTTATGAATGTAGAAAAATGTAAATAATTGTTTTATAGAGATTTCTCAAGAGATGGCATACATGTTTTTTTATCTTAAGTGCTAATCATTAATTTTCAAAAATACATGAACATTTGAAACCTTTCTTACAAAAAAAATCAATAATATATTGTATAATTATTTGGATGATCAAATAAGTAATGAATCTGTGAACTACATATCTGAAACAATAACATAGGTACTAAATCTAATTAAATACAGGGGACAAGAGAATTTGTCACTGATAAAAGGGGGGGGGGAAGACCTGGATTAAGGGAGATAACTCTATAAATTAGTAATAGGTCTGCAAGCATTCATGTACAACAGAATTATAGATTGTTGATGGTTCTTCAAGCAGGAGGGAGCTTCACGGCTACAATCTCATGGAAGAAAGAGCCTTGACATGAGAAGTGGCCGAGAAACATCCTTGAATTCGAAAGATCATTGATAATCTGTTTATAACTATTTGGTAGGCAACATCAATGACGTAGGCTTATGATGTCAAACATTCTCTTTCCACCGACTGAGAAAATCCTTTACCCTTTGAGTAGCGTGGTTTAAAAAGTTACCACAAAAAAAGATCAAAGGAAACTTTGAGAAAATAGGGATAACTCAGATATATCTATGTTACTTAAAAGCTAAAAATATATTTATGAAAATGGTTGACTCAAAAATACTAGTAATTTTAAAGAGTTATTGCCCTTTTCTCTAGGTCTACCTCCTTCAATATAAAGTTGAACTATATTTTGAGGAAAGTACTAATACATATATACAATAAACCAACTATCATCAAATGTTCAATCATCATACTCAAAACATGTATCTCAATTCAACCGTAAGTTTTACACTTCACAAACTACTAAATTTATGTCAAGAGAATTTAACTACAATGTAAAAAGAGAGACTACAGCAAAAAATATTTATGCTAATAATAGAATACAAAATGAAACAACAGTTGATTATAACAACAGTTTGGAGGATGATAATTCTTCACTTCTTCTTGCCACTAGTTCCTGGAGAATTCCTTGGTGAAGTCTTTGAAGACTGGAGTGGTAGATCATCATCGCTACTATCAGAGTCCTAGGTACAATGTACAATTATTCATAATACTGAAAATATAGCATGCATATATGGAGATTAGTATCGTGCAGATAAGCCAAGCAGATAAATTATTCTACTCTATAATGTTGTTATTGTGGGTAGTCTGTACTACTGTAAAAAACATAAACATGTCTATAATGGTGCATGTACAAAGCAGTATATAAACTGTCAACACAGAGATATGTCTCGCCTTTTTGTTATTTTGATAATGCAAATGTTGAAATTAAAATAGCAATACTTTAACATGTAAGTAATGCAAATATTCAAAGTCAATGAACCATGACGGAAGGTACAGGGCTGAACAATCTCCATGGAAATGAGATGTACCACTACTAATACAACTGCAAACCAAATACCATTGACTTATCATAAGTCGTTCCCTTTAAACAAACCTAAACACAAACATTAATTTGTAAACTATGTAAAAGTTTCAAAGTCAATGAACAATGATGAAGGGGTGGGGCTATATAATCTCCATGGAAATGAGACTTGCAAATGCCTATACGTTTGCATACCAAATATCATTGACTTAACATTAGTGGTTCATCTTTGACTGATCTAATCACAAACTTCATGTAATACATGTAAACTACGAAAAAGTTTCATAGTCAATAGACATTGACTGAGGGGGGCAGGGTAAAAAAATCTCCATGGAAATGAGATGAGCCAATGCTAATACAACTGCATACCAAATATCATTGACCTACCACTAGTGGTTCACCATAAACTAGACCTAATCACAAACTAATACATTGTTGATGCTGCAGCCGGCAGAAACAGCATACCCATGTCTCGCTTTTTGACTCCGTCAAGGCGAGACAATAAAACCCTTGCATGGATACCTCCTCCGTTTTGTAGAAAAATCACTACCTGACTACTGTTTGACATTATATTCATATATATACAGGATATCACACTTTAGTATCATATTAGAAGTGTTAACGATAAACAATATTATTACTTGAAATACTACATAGCATTAAGAAGTCAGGCTTCAGTTTTCTTGAAAACAAGATAAATAGCACTCCAAATATCAAAAAATTGTTATCATATCATAATCAACACATCTTATAAAAAAAAAAATTAAAAAAAAAATCCTGTCACTGATAGATAACTCAAGGGACAAGGCCTTCTGGTTGAAGGTAAAATGTTTGGATGCTGCCTTCCGATTGAAGGTAAAATGTTTGGATGCTGCTACAAATGGATGACAAATGTAAACATTCACAAAAACTCCTCTATAAAACACAACGAATAACAAAAAAAATCTCATAAATGTAAAACTTTAAGTCACCAGAACAGAACAAATATTGCATGTATTTTGATGCAGTAAAATACAGTTACACCGTAGCATATGGATAAACTAGCAAATGCAAGTAATTTTCTTTTATGGAAATTATAAGTTCTAACATTCATCACCCATCCCATGAGTATTTTAAATAAGCTTAAGTTTTGTAAACATGTTAACATTATATGTTTAACACATGCACATTGAAAAAAGAATCCATCTTTAAAGAAACTTAACAAGTCATAAGTAGGTAAATAAAATCAGTTAGTATTGTACATGTATTGTATGTAAGTAAAGTAGTGCTTTCATGCTTGACTAGCTTTATATACTAATATGCCAGTGTAAATATATATTTTATTGCATGATATTTTAATAAGGCCAAAAAATCATATATATATATATCTGTTTCCTGCCGCCTACCATTATAAAATAGGGTCAGTCAATCTGGGTTTTATTTTATTTTCCTTTTGTATATTAACAAAATCCTGAAAAAAAATCATGTTTTCTCGGATTGATCCAGTTATACACTTATGCAACCAGTAATTTGCGCATTCATGTTGATATGTTTATAACTTCAATGGTTTAACAAGTTCTACACTTGATATGCATCGATCTTATTACAAATTTAAGTGAATAATCCAGCCGAAATTGGATTTGTAACCAAATATGATGACTCACAATGCTTTTTTAAAATAATTTTTTGGAAAGGCAATAAAATATTTTAGGGTTGGCGATCAAACATAGGGTCTGTAGGGAGGCAGGAAACAAGCCCTTTTTTTGGTGTGGCCTAAACAGACCATTTTATACTTAGAATAAAAAAATATCTGATACTGCTGTTATCTAGATTTTATCAGATACTTCTGATTTTGTACAAGGTAATAAAATGTTCCTGCACATATTATATTTGTCCAAGGGCAATAACTCCGCTATCTTTTTTGTTTGGTTCTATTAAACTTTTTTATAAATGTCCTAAAAGAAATGAAGGTGTGAGGTTGCTTACAGTACAATTTCAATAAAATTTCTATTTCCTCTGGTCATAACTCCTATAAAATGTTTGATTGGTGCTGATTATTGAACTCTTCCAACACCTTGTAAATATTAAACTTGGATATAAATTTCATAAAAACTGACTAAAAATGTTGCCATGAGAGTGCTTAGAATATAATTTTCCTATAAATTACATTTCAAAAGGACATAATTTCTGTAAAAATAGTTAATCAACACTGATATTTTAACTCTTCCAGGGATAAATCATCATCATCATAGAATGAACAAAAAACAAAAATAAATAATTTTTATACCTCCTCTTCTTCGTCCTCATCATCACTTATCATTGGTTTCTGAATCCTTGTTTTCCTTTTCCTTGTACTTATACGTTCTTTTTCAGGGGCCTACAATAACAATCACCTTATCTTATTCTAATGTAGACACAATGAACACAATAACAATCACCTTATCTTATTCTAATGTAGACACAATGAACACAATAACAATCACCTTATCTTATTCTAATGTAGACACAATGGCCTACAATAACAATCACCTTATCTTATTCTAATGTAGACACAATGGCCTACAATAACAATCACCTTATCTTATTCTAATGTAGACACAATGGCCTACAATAACAATCACCTTATCTTATTCTAATGTAGACACAATGGCCTACAATAACAATCACCTTATCTTATTCTAATGTAGACACAATGGCCTACAATAACAATCACCTTATCTTATTCTAATGTAGACACAATGGCCTACAATAACAATCAACTTATCTTATTCTAATGTAGACACAATGAACACAAGATTTTTTTTTATTGAGCTATATTTTTTTTTCATCAAATGCATAAACTTAGTTTCAATTCTTCAATAGTATTTGTAATTGAAATGCTTTCAAAGTAAAATGTAATTATGTCCAATTTTCATGAACTTATATATAAAATTATTCAGTAGCTTTATCAAAGTTGTATAATTAAATTTAGAAATTATTACCATGTTTTTATTAATGCAAACAATGCCACCATATCATGTTCGCAATAATAAAAACTTGCATTCATAATTTCAATAGTGATGTTCATAAAATTTTTGCAAACGCATTATTTAGATATTATATTTTGTCCAGAGGTCAAGGATTTACAATACAATAATAAATGCATGTATAAATTTCTGACTGTACAGTATTAGACTTAATCAGCTAACATAGTCTCACCCTTGCAAAATTCACCACAGCTGACAGAAAAAAATTGTAATTTATTCAACCTTACCTTTTTACTTGGTGTTTTTGACTTTGAGGCTGTAATTAGAAAAAAACCCATATCATAAAAATATAAAGCTTGTATTTCAATATTAAAACATTTTATGGCAATCTGTTACTCATAATAAATATTTTTTTAAATTTTAGGACTTCAATTATTATTCACTTTAAGAATTATAATTTATTGTAAATAAACAATAAGGTGTGTTTTCTCAAAGAGAACGATTTATCCCTTTCTTACAACACTCAAAACTAGCTCCAATGGTACATTTATTTAATTTTGCCAATACTTTATAATATTAAAATTAAGCAGAGTAAATAATGAAATGCAGCTGGTTTCAAAACATTTTTTTGTGCAAGACAACAAAAAACAGCATAATTCTGTGATCTGAAGAATTATAATTTATGCAAACATTTGAAATTAATTTTTGTGGTTAGATTATCATATTTTTTAGATCTTTTTTAAATTACCATTCATGTCAGACCATACTATTTATGCAGTCTAAGCCTCATCGACAATATTCTTTATAATCTTAAACTGACTTCAATTTCCCAAAAAGAGGTCTCGTTTTGTTTTTTACTTGATATGGTACTGATCAAGTTCACTGTCTTGTATGTATGTTCATCGTCGATGTCTATACAGTGTATATCAATGTAATGCACTGATTTTGTATTTTTTCTTGGATGATGATGATAATGAATGGCTGATTAATGTCTAACAGCACACTAAATGCATATTCAGGACGAGAACATGTTAATGTAATAATGTTATTAACCCTGCTTTGTACTAGATAGAGATGCTGAGCTGGATTTTAAACGTGCTAGTTCACAAGGTAACAGTCTGCGGAAAGACATGTCACCCTACCGGGACACATTTTTCGGACTCTGAGCCGACCAGTCTTTGCTCTTACTCCTTAATGTGACGTGCTTAGCAGAGTAGCAGCAAATACCCATTTTCTTGGAGAAAAATATTACAATTAGGCCTACACAATTGTGTACCTTTATCTTCATCATCTTCTTCCTCTCCATCCTCGTTTTCTGTTTCTTCATCACTACTACTACCGTCTGAGTCTCCTAATCCATTTCCCATCTCTTTCTCTATTCTCTGTCTAGCATTAGTAAACACAGACTGCAGTACTATAGAATCTTCATGGATCTACAAGTTATACAAAATTTATGTCAAAGTAAAATGTTAAAAGCACCGACATAAACTTAAAAATACAACCACTGCTTGGAGGTTAAGATTAACTAACATATTTCAGACAGAAACTTCAGACCATAAGCCATCTGAAATATGCCTTCCTAGCTCTTGCACCAATAGAAATTTATCTTAAAACAAGTAAACACTGTCACTTAATTATTACCTATGTATACCTTATCTCCTACCCTGCAATATTCTTCAGGGGCAAGACAAAATGAGTTTTTCTTTTGTTTTGTTTTAAAAACCTTAAGATAATATAATGAGCAAATATTCATGAAATTGGCACCACTGGTGTTTAATTGGATGCTCATTAAACTATCTAATATGGTCTAAAATAATATGAATAAAAGAAGAATGTGTCTGAGAACATGAATGCCCACACTCAAGCTTTGCAATTTTTCACTTTAAAAGGGGCATGTCTAGAACGGTAAATGACTCACTGTCCAAATTCAAACTCTGTCTGCATGTTGTTGTTCTTAACATTATGTATGAGTTTTATAAAATTTGGATGAGGCAAACTCAAGTTAGAGTGTGAAAACAAAAAAATTTGCAATTTTCCAAGTTATAGAGGAGCATAACTCTAGAACGGTAAGTGACTCACTGCCCAAATTCGAAATTCTGTGTGCAAGTTTTGGTTCTTAGCATTGTGTATATGTTTCATAAAATGTAGATGAAGAAAACTTAACTTAGAGTGCGGAAACAAAAGTGGGAAGGACAGACAAATGGATAGATGGAAGGACGGAAGGACAGTCAAGGGTAACACTTAATGCCTACGGCGGGGGCATAAAATAAAACTAAGATAATGCAATGAAAAATTTCATTGAAACAAAATACATAAATACAATACTTACTGCAGATCCTTCAATGTTATAAGACTGGGCATTCTCACACAATAACATTACATCTTCCTCTAGGGCTTCCAAACTCCTGTATTTATGGTCTTTAATCTTGTTCTGCAAAACAAAATATATAGAATAATAAATTGATGTAGTATCTTCTTTTTATTGACATACAAATGCACAAATTGATTTCTTCAAATTTGTGTTACACAGAGCCAAATAACAAGTAAACTACCATAAAGAGATATAAGGAGAAGTGAAGTGTATGTTGAGAAGACAGCAACCCAACAAAACATTGCTACAGAGTAGTCAATGTTCCCTGCCTCTATACTTGTGCATACTACAAAAACAACACTGTTGACAATTAAGGTAACAAAATTCATGAATTTCTGAAACCTATTGACAAAAACAAATGTTCCATTGTTTTAAATTTCATGTATGCCATGTCACAAACCACAGATACAATAACAATGATTAGTTTGCCATCAACATACCTGATATCTGCTAATAAAAGACCTTTCCCACAACTGTGGATTCATTTATTTTCGTGGATACCAATTTTCGTGAATTGAGAAAATCTAGCATTTACATGAATATTTTATTTTGTGTTTTTCCCAAAGTATGTACACAAGCCTTTAGAGAATGTATACTCTGTTGAACATTTAAATTTGTAGTTTACCTTTACTCACAAAATCCACCAAAAATTGGTATGATGAATCCACAGTATATACAATATTTATTTTTGTTTATAATTGTAACAATTCCTTACCTTGACCTTTTTAAAATCTATTGGTCTGTCAATCAACTCATAATACTCTGGATAAAGTTTCTTGGACGGTACATTTATAAACTCTGTACTCAGAACTCTGTTGTCACTGTAATACATACAAAATTATGATAAGAGATATTTGTAAATTCGGCTTTATCATTAAAATAAACATAAGTATTCCAAGGAAGGAAGTTGATGAGCAATGAATGTAAAATGCATCACACAGTAAAGCAGGCTCACATGAACTCAGGAATTTCAGTAAGCTCTGATTTGTTGTTACCTGAAAAATATGACAAGACATTTCATGGAACACACAAACAGACAGGGGTAAAACAGTTTATATATGATAATTATGTATAGAGGATAGACAGATGGGTAAAACAGTTTATATATAATAATTATGTATAGAGGATAGAATTTACCTGTCTTTATATCTAAGCACAATAGACATAATTTTCTTCATGATTTTTGTAAGTTTAGGTGGGTTTGGTGGTTGTTTCTCTACCGGAGGTCTTCCTCTACGTTTCTTTGGTTTATCTGAACCCCCCTTTGGTTCTTTCTCCTTGACTTCTTTCTCTGCCTTCCTCTTCTTTGGTGGTTTCTTAATCACTTTTTGTTGTTCTTCAACTTCATCCAAATTACCATCCTCAATGGCCTAAATTTATATTTTAAAATTTTATAACAGTAAGGAGAGATGTGAAATGGAAATGTAGTAATTTCATCAGTAAACATATTCAGGGATGATTTTGTTAATACTTAATGAAATTCATGTATATTTTTCTGAAAACACCCCCATCACCTTTCAAAAGCATTATTTTCTACCAGCTCTTACCAAGTTCAACAACTTTTGAAAAAAAATTCAAAAAGAAAAATAACTGAAATAATTTAAATACTGATAAACATCATTCTTAATATACTTGAAAAAAATTCTTAATGTATAAATTTAGTTAGTATTAGATTTATTAATTGAAATCTACCTTTAGCCACTGTTTTTCTGTGAGAGAATCTGTATAATCCACTTCCTTCCTCTGTCTAGAACCTTTACCATACACTTCATTGTCATCTTCAAATGTTAACCTGTCAACCTAAAATTACACAAAAAAGTCATACATTTCTATTCTTCTCTCTCAAATCATTATCATTTTACATTTTATACAAAGAGAAATATCCTACCAGTATAAAAATTTGTACCGTTAATGTATTTATCTCAATTACACATATCTTAAAATGATGATTCATATTTTTCCTAAATCGTTATGACACTTTTGCATGGAAACAGCGGAAGTATCAAATATGCAAATAAACAAATTATGAAATAGCATTGTAATAAGATCTTAAATTTTTCATATAATGCACTTTATTTAAGAATATTAGAATTTTATAATTACATTTCATAAAGGATTCATACGATTCTGTAATTTTGATTGGCCAAGGCATTCCAAAAGTAAAATTTTATTTCCCAATACAATGCAACATCATTAACTGGACCTGCTCTCCGTGACAACATTGACAACAATGCATAGAAAAACAACAAAGGCTTGATTTGTAGCATAAAAATGTATATATAAAAATTGAATGCTTCTTTTTGTAATTTTATAGGGTTGTATAAGCATTGAGGTACACAAATTTTTAAGTAATCTGAGCTTCATAAAAAATGTGCGTCTGTCAAGATTCGTACACTCCAATAAAATTATAAAAAGAAGCATTCAGTTCTTCAATGAAAAATAAAATGATCTTTCCGGTTTTTACAAAAAGTTTAATGAATACCTCATTTTCATCTTTCAAAATCCAGTCAGGCAGTTCATCATCTTCCATTAGTCTAGGTTTCCTGTTAGGATTCTTTGCTTCCTCTCTCCTTCTGTCTATATCCATTTGCTAAAACATAGATCATTTGAACCCTCTTAGGTTTTTAACCATAAATACATTCAAATTTTATAATTTCTAAATTTCAATGAATGTTAATATTTGTCTCCACTTTTTATGATCCGTTTTAATTTCAATATGAACTATTTTGGAAAATCTTCATGTTTACTCAAGTTATAATCGGATTTACTATTTTTATATTGTTTCAAGCCCCATTTTAGTTTATTTATTTCACTTCTAGCTTAGACATAAATGTACTCACTTGAAACATCTCAAACTCTTCCTCACTTCTAGCCATCATCTGATTAACTGTTTCATCATCTGGAACCTCATCTTCTTCCTGTAAAACAGTTTGTAAATTGTACATCTCAATATTTCTGACTATACTCTGCAGTTTCAAGGATCTGGGTTGAAAACTTGACTTGATTATATAAAAATAGGTAGTACTGTTTTTTTTTTTGATTTTGCTTAATAATGACTATGTTTCAAAGTTAAGAAAAATAGGAAAGAAATTCCTCAAACAGTTCCATAAAAGCAGGTGCACAACTTTAACATGTGTGTAATCTTTCTCTTCAGTTTCAGGGATTTTAAGTTGAAAATGTAGAAGTAATTTACACAAAACTGGTACCATATTCTGTAAATTTTGCTGAAAAATTACTTAGTTCCAAGGTCGAGAAAAAAAATCCTCAATCAGTTCTATAAAAGCAGGTGCACATTTTCCACTTATGTGCAATATTTTTATGAAGTTTGAGGGAACTGGGTTGAAATTATATATTGAGGCGATTACACAAAACAGATACCAACTTTTCCAAGCCTACTGACATCACCATACTATAAGCCTGTTTTGAACTTTTTCCAACCTGGCCAAATAATTTAATTTGTAGTTTAACATATGATCCATACCTCTCCATCTTCCTGATCTTGTAACAGTAACTGTTGTAACATCTGTCGTCTTTCTATTCCAGTAGATTTCTGATCAAACATACCAGCCTGAATGACTTTCTCATCTACGTTCAGTTTGTATCTAGCAGCTGCCAAGATCTTCTCCTCCACACTGTTTACTGTCATCAACCTCAAAACTCTAACTTCATTCCTCTGTCCTATTCTGTGAGCTCTGTCCTGAGCTTGCAAGTCCTTAAAATAGTCAAATGTGATGCAATGTATCAGACCTTTAGTTGTGTACACAATAAAGTATTATATGGGAAAATAAAAATTTAGTCCTTTACTAAAGGTCCCTTCTTGGGGTTATAAAACTGGAACAGAAGTATTATTAAATAAAATGCTTCGCTGGGGCGCAGCTTGATACGACCGCAGAGGTCGAACCCTGAACAGTTGGGGCAAGTATGGACACAACATTCAAGCTTGATACAGCTCTGAATTTGGATTGTTATTAAATATTTGACACAGCATAGGTTTCTGACACAGAAAGAATGTGGTCTAAGAACTTGAATTTTTTTAATTTACCTATTATGGTCCAATGTCCAAAATCAAAATACATGGTTAGATTTGGAATATCAAAGAACCCCAATAATTCAATTTTTGATGAAATCAAACAAAGTTTAATTTTGGACCCTTTTGACCTCAATATGAACCAATTTGATAGTGGGGCCCACAAATAAAAAATCTAAATACATGGTTAGATTCAGCATATCAAAGAACCCCATATATTCAATTTTTGTTGAAATCAAACAAAGTTTAAATACTGGACCCTATCTTGGACCAACTTGAAAACTGGGCCCATAATCAAAAATCTAAACACATGTTTAGAATCAGCATATCAAAGAACCCCAAGAATTCAATTTTTGTTAAAATCAAACTAAGTTTAATTTTGGACCCTTTGGACCTTAATGTAGACCAATTTAAAAAACAGGACCCAAAATTAAAAATCTAAATACACGATTAGATTTGGAATATCAAAGAACCCCAATAATTCAATTTTAGATGAAATCAAACAAAGTTTAATTTTGGACCCTTTTGACCTCAATATGAACCAATTTGATAGTGGGGTCCACAAATAAAAAATCTAAATACATGGTTAGATTCAGCATATCAAAGATATATCCGATTTTTGTTGAAATCAAACAAAGTTTAATTTTGGACCCCAATTTGGACCAACTTGAAAACTGGGCCAAAAATCAATAAAATGCTCCGCTGGGGCGCAGCTTGATACGACCGCAGAGGTCGAACCCTGAACAGTTGGGGCAAGTATGGACACAACATTCAAGCTTGATACAGCACTGAATTTGGATTGTAATTAAATATTTGACACAGCATAGGTTTCTGACACAGAATGAAAGTGGTCTAAGAACTTAAAAATTTTCAATTTACCTATTCATACATGTGATGGACTGTGAAACTCAGATCAGGAGATTGGGAAATTTTGGTCAGGAGATTAGGACTCAGATCAGGAGGTTTTTAATCGACATTAATTTTGTTGTAAATGTAACCGTGTGCTGTAAAAATGGTCTTTTAAAGTGTGTTTTCTTCAACTTTCCATCCAATTTATTATGTTTATAGTACCCTTGTACTTATAAAGTTTCTCCATCTTTATATTCTACATGTTCAATCTAACATTGTATTTTTCCAGTATGTTCTTTAAATTTTTTACTTCATATTCTATAAAACAATCATTGCAACCAGAACATTTGTTTAGCTATCTGCAAATAGTTTTTATTTTTTTTTTCTCTTGCAAATAGTTTTTATTTGCAAACTCAGAAAATCCTTTTATCTGCAAAATTAGGGTCATAGTTATTATATAAATTTCAATTTAAGCCTTGAAAGGAAGTCTAGAATCCTCAAATAATTTTCAAATTATTATTTTTTTATTTGTCCTAAGACATTTAAAATCATTTAATAACCATCCTTTTATGATTATTTGTTCAATTTATATTTTATTTATATTCTTTTAAAAATTTTCATTATTAAAAGGAAAGTAACTTAAAACAGGATAAATCAAGGGAAGTAACCCAATAAATACACAGTTTTTGTTACACAACGGCAGTTAGCCTGAGGTAAAAATCGTTGATTACCTGTATGTTTGACACCCAAGCTGACAAGTGAAGCCATATAATTATGCATGTTAATTGATTTACAGGTAAAATATAACTTCAGGTAATGTCAGTTACACCAGATGCCTGAGATATGTTGGGCAGAAATTTTTCATTCATGAAAAATTTCATACACGGGATTTTTTCCTCTTCAACGGGAGGTCGGGAGGAGACCCCTGAAAACGGGATTATTGTACTCCCGTCGGGAGGTTCACATGTATGCCTATTCAAACCATATCATTATTATTTGCTTTTATATATAAATCAGAAATAACCAATTTAAAATGGAAAATGTTAAAGAAAAAAAAGGAAAAATAAATCCCCCCCCAATTTTTTGAACCCCCTTATGATTCATCACCCCCAAACTCAATCCCAGCTTTCCCTTTGTGGTATGGTACCTTGCAGTACAATTTCAGAGAGATTCATACACTTGAACACAAGTTATTGTCTGGAAACTAGAAAAATGCTTGTTTTTTGGCCCCTTTTTGGCCCCAAATTCCTAAACGTTTAGGGCAATTACCCCCAAACTCAATTCCAGCTTTCCCTTTGTGATATGGAACCTTGCAGTACAATTTCATAAAGATCCATACACTTACACACAAGTTATTGTCCTGAAACTAGAAAAATGCATGTTTTTTTTGCCCTTTTATGGCCCCTAATTACTAAAATTTTGAGGGAAAACCCCCAAAATCAATCCCAGCCTTCCCTTTGTGATATGGAACCTTGTAGTACAATTTCATAAAGATCCATACACTTACAAACAAGTTATTGTCATGAAACTAGAAAAATGCTTGTTTTTTGCCCCTTTTTGGCCCCTAATTCCTAAAATTTGGAGGAAATTACCCCAAAAATCAATCCCAGTATTCCTTTTGTGATATGGAACCTTGTAGTACAATTTCATAAAGATCCATACACTTACAAACAAGATATTGTCATGGTCGTATAAAAATGCTTGTTTTTTGCCCCTTTTTGGCCCCCAATTCCTAAAATTTGGAGGCAATTACCCCCAAAATCAATCCCAGCATTCCCTTTGTGATATGGAACCTTGTGGTACAATGTCAGAGAGATCCATACACTTACACACAAGTTATGTCTGGAAGTTACAAAAATGCTTATTTTTGGCCCCTTTTGGCCCCTAATTCCTTAACTGTTAGTACCATAACCCCCAAAATCAATCCCCACCTTCCTTTTGTGGTATTGAACCTTATGGTAAAATTTCATTGAGATCCATTTACTTAAACTAAAGTTAGAGTGCGAAAACTAATGTGTATTCGGACGACGACGCCGGACGACGACGACGCCGGACGACGACGACGACGACGACGACGACGACGACGCCAACGTCATACCAATATACGACCACAAAAATTTTTTTGCGGTCGTATAAAAATCTAAATACATGTTTAGATTCAGCATATCAAAGAACCTCATATATTCATTTTTTGCTAAAATCAAACAAAGTTTAATTTTGGACCCTTTGGACCTTAATGTAGACCAATTTGAAAACTGGACCCAAAATTAAAAATCTAAATACACTGTTAGATTCGGCATAACAAATAAATAAATGTGATCAAAGATTTTACAAATCTAATGACCCATACTGTGCAATTAAAGATTACTTCTTGAAATTTTTCAATATTTGAAATTTGAAAAAAAAATAATATTTGAAGAATAATTCTTTTTAATTTCTGAAATCTGAAATGAGAAAAAATTGACCCCCCACAATTTCTTTTTATCCCCCCCCCCCCCTTTTTTTCCCCAAAAAAATTCTTTCCCTCAAGATATGGTCATAATTTCAATTCAAATTTCCAATGGAGTTGGCAACCATAATTACCCATTTAAATTTACCATAGTGCTAACTTAATCTATTTTATAATAGAATTAAAAATATAGTGTCAAATCTTTCATATGGATTTTTTTGTAAAAAAAAAGATGCAACATTTGCAGATATTTTTACTGGTCTACCTTTATAAATATGCATTTCTTTAAACATAATTTAAAAGCAGTGTAAGGGAAGTAACCAAAACGTTGTATTTGGATTACCTCCCTTACACTGTTTTAAATTATCTTTATTGTTCATTAACCATTACTTTATACATAATTTAAAAGCAGTGTAAGGGAGATAATTTCAATGATGTATTTGATTTATCTCCCTTACACTGCTTTAAATTGTTTTGTACTAAAGTATTTGTCCATTAACCAGGACAACCTTGTTTTTCCCCCTTTTTTGCCCCTAATTCCTAAACGGTTTGAGCCATAACCCCCCAAAGCAAATCCTAACCATCCCTTTGTGGTATGGAAACTTGTAGTATAATTTCAGAGAGATCCATACACCATTCCACAGTTATTGTCTGGAAACTAGAAAATGCTTATTTTTGGCCCCTTTTCGGCCCCTAATTCCTTAACTGTTGGTACCATAACCCCCAAAATCAATCCCAACCTTCCTTTTGTGGTATTTAACCTTATGGTCAAATTTCAAAAAGATCCATTCACTTAAACTAAAGTTAGAGTGCGAAAACCAATGTGTATTCGGACGACGACGACGACGACGACGCCAACGTCATACCAATATACGACCACAAAATTTTTTTGCGGTCGTATAAAAAGTTGAATAAACCTATTTAATCAAATTTATGTCAGTTACCAAACTAACTGAGTTTGTATTTCACAGTATATGAACAACATGTTACCTGGTGGGGATTCCAGTCAGAATCAAATATAACAACAGTATCAGCAGCCTGGAGATTGAGACCCAAACCACCTGCTCTAGTACTCAGTAAGAAGACAAAGTAAGGCGATTCAGGATCGTTGAACAATGCTAATAATTGTCCTCTATCTTCACATTTTGTTGTTCCATCTAACCTCAAGTATCTGTAACCTGAAAAAAAAGTAAATTTGGCTAAACTTCTTTTTTTAATTCAATCATCTTCAATGTGTTTACATTAACTGACAATATTAGTTATAATGGCTTGCACAAGAGAAAATTATGCTATGTGGTAACATGTATTATAAAACAAATAGTGGTGACTACACTGATTTTCTACTCGTTAGAAGTTATACATACTTGTCTTTTATATTTATTTTAGATTTGAGTAATCCTAATAAAGATATGCTCCAGTAGATATGCATCATATAATAAAGTGCTATTATCATTTTATATGCAGCATTTATCGGTTCCATGACAAGTCAGACCCTCCATGTTATTTGCTTACCTCTGAAGACAAAGTAATCCTCCATTACACTCATCAACGTTGTCATCTGACAAAACAACAAAACTCTGTGATTTGTAACCTTTAGTTTGGGTAGTATTCTGTCCAGTAACTCAAATTTTCCTCCTGCTCTGTACAAATCTGGGCTGCAAAAATTATATAAATTATAAAATGAGAAGTATAAGATCTGATGATTGATTAATGAGATTACAACATTTGCTACCAAGAAAATAATAAACTTTGCTTCGGTGGTAGCGTGTTCACCTCGTATGCCGGAGGTCGTAGGTCCGAACCCCGGCCGGGTAAAAACAAAGACTTTAAAATTGGTAATTACTGTTACCTTGTGAACTAGCACGTAAAATATCGGCTCAGCATGTGGTTCTAGTTCAAAACAGGGTAAATATTCATATTACATTAATATGTTCTCGTCCTGAATATGCATATTAATTTGCTACTGGACGTTAAGCAGCCATCCATCATCATCATCATCTAAATTTTCCACGTTTTTTTTTATTATTGTTTCAATGGACCCTATCAACTAAAAAAAAGAAGTCATGGATTCCTAAAAACTCCTTGTAAGAATTATTAATCATCTTTTCATCGAGTAAAAGATAGAAGTGTACTTTGTTAACTTCTGTCATTTGGTCTCTGGTGGAGAGTTGTCTCATTGGCAATCATACCACATCTTCTTATTTTTATATTATGAATTACTTCAAAAGTTCAAGATTAAAAGTGTACTATCTTTATTAGCATTTTTCTCAGTTTTAAAGAAAAGACTGTCATACAAGAGGGGTCCTATACTGTAAACCAACTTATTTTCACAAGCGATTTATTTCCAGGATTTTTCGCGAGTAGAAAAATAAGGCAAATATGTAAAACTTGGATCTTTCCTTATATAGCTACATCAAGCAAATTTGAAAATCGCAAAATTAAATCGCATAGAAAGTGCTATAGAAAGGGTTAAACGTGAAATAAAGTAGTTGGTTTAAATTTAATGACACTGCTTTGTTGAGTGTATTATTCTATATATCCAATTTTTATTAATTAAGTTCAAGGCTAAAAATTATTTGCTTCCCTCAACTTGTGATAAGAAACCTGTACAGGTTTTTACTTGTTCTTGTTGTTTGAATATTGTATTTTCAATTCCTTAAAACATTAATCGCGATATTTTTAGCACCATACATACCCAGTGACTTCTCTTTTACCAAGTCCTTGGTGTTCAGCAAAAGCTTCCTCTAAATGTGGAAAGATAAATGGATGATTGCAAATCTTTCTAAGCTGCATTATAGTATTCATCATAGCTCTAGCTCCACCTTTACCACCCTGTAAAAAACAATGGATATATAAACTACAAAACTGACATTTCAGCAAAGGCTCCTCTTCCACTTTTTGGTGTGAGGCATAGAAACAAAATATAAACAAGCATTCTGTGAGTATTGCCTGGCAATAAATAGTCCCCTACTGGTTAAAAATTCATTGTACTGGAACAAAATTCTAGCTTGATCTATAACTTGTCATGGTGTAAACTATTTAACAAATATCAAGTCAATATCTTCAAGCATGACGAAAAAAAATGTGGAAAATTGATTATTTGAGTGAATTTTCGAAGTCCAAGGACCATAATATCTCTGCACAAAATCATTAGACCGGACCAAAATTTGAACTTGATCTGTAACTTGTCATGATAAAACTATATACCAATCATCAAATCAATATCTTCAAGCATGACAAAAAAAGTGAGGAAAAATGATTTTTTGAGTGAATTTTCTAAGTTGAAGGACCATAACTCTGCACAAAATCGTCAGACAAGAACAAATTTTAAACTTGATCTGTAACTGGTCATGTTCAAACAATACACCAAATATCAAATCAAAATCTTCAAGCACGAAGAAAAAAAGTGTGGAAAACTGATTTGCCGGACTGACGGATGGACAGACAGACAGACGGATGGAGTGCAAACCTAAAGTCCCCTTCGACTTAGTCGGTAGGGGACTAATAAATCTGATGGCACCAAATCAATTCAACTTCACAAGTTGCCAATATTAGTACATTTTTGGCACCTGCAATAAATTTGGAACAGCTTATTATACCTCTAAAAATAATATTTTTTTTTAAATCCTAGCACAAAAAGACAATTCTAATAATTTGCGATTTTGGTTAAAATTTCACAAAAATCCTTTAATAGGTATTCACACAGTGTATAAATAATATGGATATCGGTTGAGATAATCTTAACATACGACAGACAGAGTGATTACAACAAGTCAGTGGAGTCCTACACAAACTGTTCCTCTTAGGCTCTACCTTTACAACCCTGTAAGAAATATTAAGTAAAAGCTTGTTACATTGTTAGAATACATCCTTTACCTTTCTGTCACTTCCATCAGTAAGCATCACACCCTTAGCCTGCATGTGACGGTAAACATATCTCTGCAAGGCTGACATTTCACACTTAATAACATATTCAATCTAAAAATAGAAATTTACAAACTGAAAAAAAGAGGATAAATATTCAAGATGGAATAGATGTTTTGCAAGCATGACTCATCCATTTCTACTTTTCACCTACGATTAAAGATCAAAAAGTTCATTTTACACTACTAAAACATTTTAGACCATTTCTTTATGTTCTTCTTAACAAAGTATTAATAAATATTTCTAATAGCATTTTGCAGAAACGTATAAGGCATTAAATGTTAAAGATCATATTCATTAAATTTTTTTATAACAGCCTGCTCTATCAAAATGACATCACTTATTACCCCAAAATAAAATGAAGAGGACGGAATAATGAGTTTGCAAACAATGGCAAGCATCACCACTTAATAAAATTTAAAGGTGCAAAATAATTTTCTTCTTGATTTTATTTCTAGAGAAATATTCACTGAAAACAACTTACCAAGAACTTGTGGGACACATAATCAAATCAAAAGGGAAAAGGGGGGGAAAAGTAATCTCTGACAAACAGCTTCCAGAAACTTGTGGGACAAATAAGTATGTTTCTTGAATGATTTGGACATAGGCAATGCCTTATTTCTACAAGATAGAACATACCTTGTCTGGTAACTGAGATTCGACTTCTTTCTTCAGTCTTCTTAACAAGAAGGGACGTAGTACTTTGTGTAGACGTCTGATAATCAACAATGTCTCCTCAGAGTTCAATTCAACCTAAAAACATTATTCAATTAATTCTATTAGATTTAATAACTTTTTCTTTTGATGAGTCTATTATGTCTTATTTTTGTATCAATCTAATGAGTTAAGCCCTTTTCAATTGATTTTCATAGTTTGTTCTTATGCTGTGCTGATACACCACTGTCCCAGGTTAAGGGGAGGGTTGGACGCACACATGCCACATTCTGTATGTCCCCTTCTCAAGTCAGAAGCCTGTAATCAGTGGTTGTCATTTGTTGCTGTATATCCTATTTGTTTTTTGTTTATTGCTTTGTACAAAAATATGGCTGTTTATTTTCTTGTTTGAATTGTTTTACATTTGTCATTTCAGGGCCTTTTATAGATTGCTATGCGGTATTGGTTTTGCTCATTGATGAAGGACGTATGGTGACCTATAGTTGCTAATTTCTACATCATTTGGTCTCTGGCAGAGAGTTGTCTCATTTGCCATCATATAACATCTTTTTATTTTTATATTATCAATTCTTTACTTATACTGGTAACTTCTGTACTCACATCTTAAAATAGCAAATATTTCCCAAATAGCACAAAAATTTTAAGTTTTACATTCAACATTTGTTACTTTTTTATGATTTTCTAACTTACCTTTTCTCCTGTCATGGCAAATGGTGCATTAAACCACTGCTCAAACGTGGCACAGCATTTGAAAATGCTTGGCAACAAGAAATTCAACAAGGCCCATAACTCTGGCAATTTATTCTGAAATTATATATTCAAATTTATCTGAAAATCAACACATATAAACATTTATTTATCTACTATTATTATAAGAAATAACAAAAATGTGGTTTTGAGAAATCTAGTATATGAAATATTTAAAGCAAATATATTTGATAATCTAAAACAAACTCTGAATGCAAAATCCTCAAAGACCTTGTCATTTATTTGGTTTTTCACTTTTCACATGGATCATAGACTGAAATGTAAAAGATAAAATCCAGAAAAAAGCATTAATAAGAACTATGTCATCAACTAGAAAACTGATATGTCAGCAAGGCCAGCTTGCAGAGTTTTGTATACTGATGCAAACAATGCAATACATGTTCATGGGGTATCAATTTTCATAAATTTTGATACCAGGAGTAATATGTGGTCTCCATAGAATATAAAGTTTTGTTATAATTCAGCAAGCACTATGAATTTCCTATGTATTTTGGCATTTTAAAAATTGAGGCAGACTGATAATCTTTGATACTGTGAACCATGAGTAAGATATTGCACCTATATATCAATTATTTTTCAAATCCCAGCACAAAAATTATTACCCCAAATTTGTGATTTTTTTTTACAAAAACTATTTAAATATTACCACATTTTTATTTTTATATTTGACACAAAAAATCAATTATGAATAGTTTTTTCTCCTATATATCAATATCAATTTTTGTTGAAATCCAGCACAAAAAGATGTTTCTCAAAATTTGTTACATTTTGACAAAAACTGTTTTTTGCCAATTTTCCAAACTTCATAATTATCAAAAGGGGGCTATTTTTATAGGTATAAACTCTTTGAATAAAAATTCTGGAAATGATTTGAAGCTTGACATTAGGTAAGACATAGAAGAGCTGACGAAGACACCTACAGACAGAGTGATTACTACAGGGCATTGTTGACTACTTTACTGGGCACTAATAATCAACCAAGTAGCACTATGAGCAGGGCTTTAATGATTTAAATATTAACCTGTAATGGTGTTCCTGTTAATAACAATCTGTGAGGAGCCAAGTAATGAGTGTTTAACACCTGTGTCAGTTTACAGTGGTGATTCTTCATTCGATGTCCTTCATCAATAATCATATACTTCCACCGTATCTACAATAAATATTTTCATACAAAATCATTATTATTAATTTGGTATCTATTTATGTGGCTCATAAAATCCTAGAATTAAATATCGTACAAAACACTAATTTTTACAAGAACAGTATTATTAACCCATGATAATTCATGTAATTTGGCGATCTAATGAAGAAATGATTTAAAAATATTCTGTAAAATTATTATCATTTGAATTTTCCCATATAGAATTATGTAACCAGTATTTGGTACAAGTGTACTTAAGTGTTGCCTACTGTATTTTCATCAGGGTCTTTATAATTTGTCAGTTATCCAATATAATCATAAATATCTAACATGTCACTTCCATTTCTTTTGATTGGAATCAGATATACACATTACACAATTTTATACACATATTTATAAGTATGTTTCAAATTTCATGTGATTCTATGAACAGTATATATATATATACATATCAAAATAAAATATACAAATGATCCTGGTTCTACCTTGCACAAAGCAGCTTTGTCTTTGATGATATACTCATATGTGGTAAGAAGTACATTAAATTTGGCAGCTTTCAGGATAGGTAATAACAGCCTCCTCGAGTTAGGAGAACCTTTATAGGCAATCTTCACAACAGATGGTGCCCACTTCTCAAACTCTATCACCCAGTTAGATAATGTTCTGTAATAGAGATAATATAGTCAACAAATAGGGCTCAAGTTTCATATATTGAACTGGTCTTTAAAACTAGACACTGATGTGAGATAGACTTTCACATTAATACTCGTCTTCTAACTTTAAATCTTAATCTTAATTTCTTTAGATTCATCTCAGTACTCTGATAACAGCAACGGTGAAACTTCATGATATTCTAATATGAGTCCTCAAAAGGAAATATTGTGGTTTGTGAACTTTCAATTTTTACTCCCTAACCTCTAAAAGGTTAATATATACAATTCTATAACCCTAGATAAAACCTTTAGTACTACTGCCAGTTAAATGATAATTTTAAGTAACACTGCTTTAGATGCTTTAAATGTTTTCAATGAATAAAAGAAATGTAAATCTAAAACAGTTTTTTTATTCTTATATTTATCACACAAAGTCTAGCTGATGTTTATTAGTTCATTATTATTTAAATATTTTCCTTAAAGAATTTGAATACAGTCACATGGTTATAAGTATTATATACCTTGAGTATACTCACGACAATGGAACAATGATAAGGAATGGACCATTCACTATTATAAGTATTATATACACTAAGTATACTCACGACAATGGAACAATGATAAGGAATGGACCATTCACTCTCTTCCTCTCCATTAGATATGTGATCAGTCCAATAGTCTGTATAGTTTTACCTAGACCCATTTCATCAGCCAAAATTCCATTCAGGTTATTATTATACAATGATACTAGCCATTCCAATCCACTCAGCTGTTTAATAAATATATAACCATGTTAGTACTAAAGGAATCTATAGATCACACTACACAAAGAAGGAGGTTTGATACTAGTCATTATTTGGCCCCTGGAATTTTAGTTTACCAGAAAACAAAGTCTATTCAAATCAACATGGCAATATGTATCATAACAACCCCCCCTCAAAAAAAATTTAAATAATTGAATACTTCTATGGTACTGATGATATAACTACCATCAAGCAGAGAAATAAACAAAACATTTTCCAATGAAATATGTCTGTGGGGGTCAAAAAGTTGCTATACAAGGCTAATAAATTTTACAAATCTTATCTTACAGACAGGTTTATTCTAAAACATGATATCAAAATGTTTATAACGGATTTACCTGATATTCTTTTAACAATCCATTGACCATGATAGAAGCTTGTTCAACTTCTTCCTTGACAGTGTGGGCCAAGCTATAGTAATTCTGGGCTTCTTTAACCTTTAAATTCTCATACTCATCATCCTCATGAGTGGCACTACTGCAAACAATAGTAACATATTTATCAGTAACTATGAAACATAAGATTGCATTAACTGTATGATCAGAATTTATTTTTTAAAACAATTTAAATAGTTATCAAAGATACTAGGTTACTAGTTTAGTATGTCATAAATGTGTTTCATCTTCACACAACTCATTAGTGTCATTCTTTGTGATAAATCGTTCAGCTCCTTCTGTTCAAAATGTATTGTTTTCGTAAAGATAATTTTCTTCTCATAAATGTTTGATAAAACAAATGTATTCCAAATGACTTTTGATTTTACATGTATAACTAAAAAAAATCCTCATCAAAGAAACCAGGCTTACAATTCTGTTCTCCAGATAGGAGCTTCTTCCACAAAAGACTCATCACTGACACTTTAATGAAAAAAGTAAAAAGGCCAAATGAAGTACGAATTTGAAGAGCAATTTACTCATAATAATAAAAACTATTTATATAACTGATCTCCTGACAGATTTAGTACATCTGTTTACCTTAGAATTTTCTTAGCTTCCTCTTCATCTAAATCTTCTGATGATTTGAGGACCTGAAAATGATTATCTTGCTTAAGTATGTCAGATCAAAATAATTTCACATAATACTGGTGAGCAACAAAAAGCTGTTATATGAAAATAACATTGCAATAAGAGAGTAATAATTATTCTTTAAGCTGAAAGTGCAACAAATCTGAATGTCTGAAAATTATTTTTTACATTAAATCTTCTACTCACAAAGAGTTATTCATATGTTAATAAGTGTCAAAGTACAATAAAGTCAATATATGGAATAATATGCTGACTTCTGAACTATTTTCTTTTGATAAGAACCATTTATTTAATATCATCACAGCAGTGATTATAAGGACTTACCTTCTTTGGTGTGATCTCTGGTATAACTGGTGGTTGACTTTCCTCTGGTTTCTCCTGTAATAACAAACATTTTACCTTTTTTTCTTTTTTTGATTCCCCAAATTGGGTCCAGGACCCTTTAAGAGGTAATTAGTTAAATGGAACCTTGAGTGTAATTTAAGTAGAAAAAATTAAAAAATTAAACTTTTGACAAATGAAACCGCAATGTAATCTCATAATCATAAAATTTGCTGATTCCCCTTCTTAATGTGATATATATTTAACAAGGATAGAACTGACTTGGCAAAATATAGAACTGACTTGGCTAAGAAATAGAACTGACTTGCCTAAGAAATACAACTGACTTGGCTAAGAAATAGATCTTTAATTGCATATGCTTTCTTTGGAGAAAAATAAAATAAGTAAACTAAATACTTTTTGTGATTATATTATATAAACAAGAATAAAATCAATGGGATTACCTCCTCTTCCTCTCCACTTTCATCGTCCTCTTCACCATCAACTCTTGGTGCCACCTCATATCTGAAAAATCAAAACATAATATGAAGTAGAACACCATTTCTTTATTCAATGTCTTGTTGATTTTCATATTCTTGTATAACATTTTGTGACCTGATAATTGCAAAACATACAACATTTAAAAAGATGAAAGTGTTGTAGCAAAATCATTTTTTCAAATGTTGTATGTTCCCCCAACTAACAGATAGAGATGGGATATAAGTTTTCACTCACTCTGGATTTAATTCTAGCTGATAATCGATTTGACTAGCTAGACGGGTAGGGAAATAAGTGTTCACTCACTCTGAATTAATTCTAGCTGATAATCGAATTGACTAGCTAGACAGGTGGAGAAATCAGTTTTCACTCACCCTTGATTTAATTATGGCCAAGTGTTTAATTGACTAGCTAGACTAGAAGGGAAATATCTTTTCACTCAATCTGGATTTAATTCTGGCCAAGTATCTAATTGCCTAGCTAGATGTCAAGGAACATAAGTTTTTTACTCACCCTGGATTTAGTTCTAACCAAGTATCTAATTGACTAGCTAGAGGAGCACCTTCTCCAAACAGAATCTTCCCTGTTGCTGTCTCTACCACAGAAACTCTCATATCACTGGTATTAGAGCTTTCATCCAGTACCTAAAGTCAAAATCAAAACTAAATACAATACAATATCACTTTTTCAAATCATTTTTTTTTTACAAAAATTTCTATTTTGGCCTCAACCCAAGATTAAAAAATCTTTATAATCAAGTTTTGAAGTGGTAATATATGTCATGTATGTCATAGATGGCTTTTTTTTTATTTTATAAAAAATCATTTCAATGTACAGAAATGTATCAAGCATATTCCAGTCCCAGTTTTATTTCAAGCCATCAAACTGATGCACCCGGTGATGAGTAATATATATATATACAATGGATTTTAGGCCTTAAAATAATGGGATAGGTTAAGAAAAATTACAAGGCAAGGAAAAAAAAATAATTACCTCTGGGTTGACTGCTTCCACCCCTTTTTTCTTCTTTTTCTTCCGTTCCATTTTCTTCTTTCTTATGTCTTCTTTATGCTCTGCTAAGAGGGACATCATATTAGTAATGTACTCATCTGTCTGAGATAGAAGGTAGGCCAGACGTTTGTCCTTCTTCTGATCAATCAACTTTCTATACCCTTCTTCATCTTCAGCCTGTTAAATACAAACAATCAAATATAGGAAATAAATCATATAGGACAGAATATAATAAAGACTATCATAAAGAATTATAAACCGATTTTGTTCAAGTTTACTGACATCATTACCCTGTTTGATTGTTTAAGACGGAACTAAATGAATGATGAATATATCCCACATCCTATAGCTAATGGTTGTGAGAGTGTATAGATCATTGATGATGTGTGAAATTAGACCGTTGGTTTTCCCGTTTGAATGGTTTTACACTAGTAATTTTTGGGGCCCTTTATAGCTTGCTGTTCGGTGTGAGCCAAGGCTCCGTGTTGAAGACCGTACTTTGACCTATAATGGTTTACTTTAAAAATTTTTGACTTGGATGGAGAATTGTCTCATTGGCACTCATACCACATCTTCTTATATCTATTTACCATCTATAACTGATCTGTTACTGATAGGTTTGTAATTCATCTTTTATAAATTAAATGAATGAGAGTGAGCAAAATTGAAATTTAACTTTAGAGAGTGTTTTAAAATACCTAAATAAACTCTTGACACACAGCTATGTCTCACTTTTCTCATCTGATCACCAACTAGAACAACTGTGGAAGCCGCAAATGCCAGAAACAGCACTCCTTAGTCTCACTCTTACTATTTTTATTTTAGGGGACATAAAAACATTCAGCCTTTGTCATGAAATCCTAGTAGTCTATATTGATTTTTCTTTTTCTGGTAATAATGTAAAGTTAATAATCTTACCATTAGTCTCCTCATTCTTTCTTTTTCTCTTTTTCTGGTAATAATGTAAAGTTAATAATCTTACCATTAGTCTCCTCATTCTTTGTAAAGTTAATATTCTTACCATAAGTCTCCTCATTCTTTGTAAAGTTAATAATCTTACCATTAGTCTCCTCATTCTTTGTAAAGTTAATAATCTTACCATTAGTCTCCTCATTCTTTGTAAAGTTAATAATCTTACCATTAGTCTCCTCATTCTTTGTAAAGTTAATAATCTTACCATTAGTCTCCTCATTCTTTGTAAAGTTAATAATCTTACCATTAGTCTCCTCATTCTTTGTAAAGTTAATAATCTTACCATTAGTCTCCTCATTCTTTGTAAAGTTAATAATCTTACCATAAGTCTCCTCATTCTTTCTTTTTCTAGTCTTTCTTGTTCTTTCTTTTGTTCTCTTTCTGTGTTAGCATGGTGCATCATGATGGCCTTGTTAACTTTGTTGACCTTAGTCTGTATACTACGGTGGAAATCTCTAAAGTCTTTAGCATGTTGTAGAACAGCATTCAGATACTCCTACAAGTCAGTTATCATTGAATAATGATTATATGCTAAGCAAGTCAAATATCATTCATTGAAATAAAAGAAAAACATGACAGCATTGATTTATTTTAATATTCTGGTGAGGTCAGAAACTTATTATTATACCAGGTATGACATGTTTATTTGCACTGTATTTTGATTTAGTTTCACATCTATCAGTTCTTTTGAACATTGACAGTACATCCTTTATTTCTGGATATATTTTCTATTAGCAACATAAAAAAGCATACTGTAAAATGTGAAGTACCTGGTGTTTCTGTCTTTTCTTCCTTTCTTGGTCCATTTTTTGTTGTTTTTCCAGTTTCTCAGTAACTCTTGCCTCTCTGAGAGTTTGTCTCTTATTACGTTTATATGCCTTTGTGTTTAGTGCTGTCTCCAATGTTGTATCTTTTCTCATACAGGCAACTACTTCAGTTCTCAACTAGAAACAAATTAAAGTATCATTTGTGTAACCACATTAAATGTTGAACAGTTCATAATCAAATCTGTTATCTATACACAAAAAAAAATCAAAGTTTCAGTGTCAAATCATTGTGTGATCAAAATGAAAAATAAAAATATTATTTGAAAATCTATTTTTACTTTGACACACATAAATTTACAAAATGCTTCATGATAACCATTTTTATTTTTATCACTATCTGACTTGAGGAAATTGGTTGTCTTCTGCCATTGTTGATTGTAACATAGCAGGAAACAATGGGCCTATAATTCATGTTAGACTTTTTATCTGAATGAAGAAGATTATGTGTTTTATGTTATTACTACAAACATTTTTAGTTTGATTAATTTGTTTCAATAAATTATCCATATAAGGGGAGATTACTCAGATAATATAACTTTACATGAATGTGTAGTAAATTTACCTATTTTATTTTGTCGCACAAAAACAAGTCCAGTGACCCCAACTTTTCTTTTAGTTTATGAAAGCACATTACAATAGCTATCTTTTGATATTTTTTTCTTGAAATTCTAAAGTTTAGTTTTCTTTCTATCATTTAAAATGGGTTTTCCATGCATAATCTATACATACTCAGACAATTTTGCACAGCCTGTAATTTGAAAAATGCTCTATCAATACCTTTTTTATGATTTTGAAAAAAGCGTGATATAGACTACAATTTGGCAAATTATTAAAAAATTCTACGTATTTTAATTTAGACCCTCAATCTACCTTAATATTAGTATCTAGTTACCAGGCAATTATTATTATTTTTTACCACAAATTTAAGAATGTGATGTACTTAAAGTTTGATACATATGTTTTCTCTTACCTGTCTTTGAAAATTGAGTAACCTGAGGGCCCTTAATTCTATCATAGCTTTACATTTCATATCCTCAGGCATTACAGCAGGAAGATTATGTAATTCCTTGATTCTGTGTCCAATTCTGGCTGCAATTCTGTAACAAACAATTTATTACTATTTACTGGATATTCTAAGGTCCATCCAAATAACATTTGAATATGGTTGAAAATTGTTCATTGCCCACATTTTCTTCTACCTTGGAAACAGAATTAACAAAGGATTGTATTTTATACAGTTCCACAGGATAAAGGGAAATTAAAATTTGAAACCATATCACTGAACTTTAAGAATGAACTTCTATAAATAACTTTATTATTAAAATAATTATTAGAACCATTGTGAAAGCAATGATAACTTGCCAAGATCAATTATTTAACAAGATTTTGTACACAACCATCTAACATTTTGGAGTATGAGAAACCAGGAAAGTGTATATTTTGCTAGTCTGGACTCTATTGTTACTAAATACCTATTTTCCCTTTCATTAAGAATATCAATAGGATTTAGTCCTTGAGGTTTCTGAACTGGTGCTATTTTACTTTGCTTCTGCATGGTCATCATAGCCTGTAAAGAGGAAGGAGGAGGGGTCTGTTGATTTGGTTTTGGTTGTTGTTGTTGTTGAGTTGGCGGCACTCCTTGTGTGGCTCCACTTTGATAGCTTGGCTGTGGACCTTGTTGAGGCTGGGACTGACTTTGTGATGGAATTCTTTGTGGCTGATTTTGATGAGAATCTGAAATTTATAAGTAAAAACATGGATGAAGATATAAATAATGCAAGTACTCAAAACAAAAAGAGGAATCTGATCCCAACTGAACATCAAACCATGGTTTTATAAAAATAAGAAGATGTGGTATGATTGCCAATGAGACAACTTTTGTTTACTTTCTGAATTGTATCAAGTTTTGTTATAGGCTGAGATATATAAAAGCAGATTCTTTTTAGCATTTTTAGTTTCAATCACTTCAAAATTTTCAAAATATTTCTCAAAGATTTGTATTATTGAAATGTCAAATCAGTATTGTAACAACTTATACAACATGTACAATGAACATATTTAATAAATTTCAAATGTCCAACATTATTTAAGTTTTATTTGATACTTTATTTAAACTATATGTTACTCCCATATGAGAACAAAATATACATATACATGTAATTTGTAAAATTTGATGCATCGGATTGAAGCACTTCAAGTCTGTCATCATTAGTATAGATATATAAGTATCAAATTCAAACCTTGAGGTCTTGGCATTCCAGTAAAAGGTGGTCTCTTGCCTTCAACAGCTGCCCTTAGATTTTCAGGAATGGACTGGTTTCTAGCAAGGAATTTGTAAGCCATTATTTGTGCACGGAGTTGTGATAGCTGTGATGGATTGAATGCAGTCATTTTATTTCCAGGTTGCTGAATTCCTTGGTGACCTGCAATAAAGGAAAACAATACAAATAAATTTGTAGGAACATAAACAGTGCATGCCCACTTGTTGTCGAATGCAATGCTTTAAAATGCAGAAAAGACGTGTTCAACTTATCATGTTGACCAGCAGAACTTAAGGAGTATATGTAGAGTCACTTCCTAACAAATAAAAATATCTGTTATATTTCAACATCTGAAAGATTCAACCAAATTTAAATAGTATCTTACTGGAATTGAGCAAAATATCCAAGAGTAGCATTAAGAGTCATCATATGTTATATTACCTTGTTGAGTTTGATCACCGTCCATCCCTTGATTTGAGGATGCCATATTTGGTTGAGATGCAGCTCTATTCATCATTGGGCTCATCCCTTGCTGTTGTCCTGGGTGCCCCATTCCACTCTGACCACTAGGATGTCCTGGCATCACATTACCACCTCCACCAGCCATGTTTGGATTCATCTGTCCAGACCCAGTAGGGTTAGGTACATTTTGAACATTCATGGAATAACCAGGACCACCACTGGAAACATTAGGCATATTAGGTGGACCAGACATATTTGGAGCTCCCATACTTTGTACAGGTCCAGGCATTCCACTCTGGGCATTAGGCATACCTTGATGCATACTGCCCATTCTGTGTGGTGTTCCCATTCCTTGGTTTGAAGGGATTCCCTGTTGTTGGACACCATGCATACCTTGAGGAGCACCAGGAGGCATTCCCTGAGGTCCACTTTGCATTGGGTGTTGTCCACTAGGCATTCCCTGTGGACCCATTCCACCAGGTCCCATTCTATTACCATATGGATTTTGCATACCGTGGTGTTGTGGTGGCATGCCTTGTGGTCCACCACTACCCTGCATTCCTTGTGGATGCATGCCACCAGATCTTGCACGTTCAGCCATAGCCATGAGTTGAGCGTACCTTGGATCTCCTTGCATACCTTTGTCTTCCATTTGACTAATTGCCTTTAAAATATAAATTCTTTGAAATTAATACAGGTTAAAAATATGGCTAAATATTGAAACATTTGGTCAAATGGGGAAAAAACTTGGGTCAGTTAGAAAAGAATACAATCAATTCTGGTCACATTAATGATTCTTTTAATTTTTCTAAAATTACCTCAGAGCAATTGTAGCATAAAAAAATTTACTCTATGCATCAGAGTTCACCTAAGTTTTTGCAAATAGCACTATGGGATTTGAAAAAGCACTGTTTCCCTAAAATTATAGCACCACATCCATATTACATTAAATTACAAAATCTGTTCTTATAACATCATTGGACAATTACCCTGACAATAAACATAATGAATACTACCTAAAAGACATGGCAGACTTCCAAAACAAACTTCCTTATTGATCGGTAAAGAAAGAACATCACCTATTTGACAACATTTTCATAAAAATACCCTTACTGAGCCAAGATATTCAGGCTGAGCCTGTTTAACTTCTCCACATTATTTATGTGCTTGTCCCTAATCAGGAAACTGTAATTTAGTGGTCTGACATATATGTTTTTCATTTATTGTTCTTGCATAAATCAGGCAGTCTGTTTTCTCTTTTCAATTGTTTCACATTTTGTCATGCCGGCCTTTCATAGCTTACAATGGTTGCTTACATCTACATCATTTGATCTCTGGTAGACAAAATGGTGGATATTTGTCTTATTGGCAATTATACCCCATATTCTTATTTTTATATTTTAGATACTACCAATAACAACAACAAAAATCTAGCAGCTGAACACTTTGAAACCAAAGGTGAATTTATGAGAATGCCACTTTTTAAACGCATTATACCTTAAGAATTTTGAACAATATTTTAAAAGATGCAAGCAGCTGATATTGTTCAGTGTGCAGATCCATGGTACATGAAGTATTATTTGATATGATTTGAAATATGCAGGGACCTCCAAGGATGAAAATTCAATGATGGAAGAACTCTCCCCTGGACAAAACCCTGCATGTCGTGATCGAAAATATTTCATTCCTACATTTCATTGTAAGGAATAGTGAATAGACTGATATATTGTTAAGTATATTCATTTCATTATAGAATAACCAATATTTTCATTAACTGTCATTTGTAACAATTCCAATGTCAAGCTTGCATTGCTCCTTTTAGTCAATGATAACCACAATTCAGCTGTCCTGTAAACCTATTTAACATCACAGTTTTTTCATGTCAGAAGGTTCCCAGAGTCATTTTCTAGCTATTTTTGATAATTTTGAAAGGACTTAAAAATGGGGATAGTTTTTCTCACTATCAAACACTCCTGTAGTAGAAGTGTTAAATTTAATATTTAGAAGTCAAGTACCTGGATCGACGATTTGCAGCATCAATAACAAGAAGTTTCGTACCCGTTTTTGTGAAACATTGAATACAGATTTGTGGAGGGCATAAATTTAAAACTGAAATGGTTTAAATGACCTAAAATTGCAAATTCAACAGTAATAGACCATGCAACTTGCATCTTTTGATTCTGAATGTAAACAGGATGTATTAATTTGATTGTAAACTACGAAATGAATTCAAAATTACAATACGAAATTTCTTCAGTTTACCAAGTTGCAGTTAATATTTTAGTACAAGTATTTACTTTTAAACTAAATTGATTTAGTATGACCAATAATTATTGTTATTTGGCATGAAATCGTGTTATGTTTTACGATTAAGAGTATAACCTTGTACTCGTTTAAAACAGGGGATGCTGATTGCGTAAATCAATAAAAGCATGTGTTCAACTTGTTCAACTTTTTTCTTCATAATTGAATTATAATTTATTTATTAATCTAAATTTTCATAATATAAGCATTTGCTGAAAAGCAATTAAATAATGAATTAATGTTCTCTCTAGATCAAGTGTTCTCCTGTCAGGTGTAGAAGTGATTAGCGATGGCTAGCCAGAAATCCCTATCAGTGCTTTAAAACAGAAATCAGGAAGGACCCTTTGACGTATAATACAATAGGAGTTATGCAGTTACATGCAATAAGATTATAATTACTAACAAAAATTGCGACAGCTAGCGAAACGAAAAACAAATTTTGACTACACCTTTCAATAATAGTACAGTTATCTAACAATGGCAGGGATCATTTGAATATGGCAGAAGATAATTTAACAATGGTTGGGATCATTTGACGATGGCGGAAGATAATTTAACGATGGTGAAGCGCCATCATAAAACAGGCCATGGAGATCCCTGAAATATGGTGTTCATCTTTATTCATGAGTAAAAATAGAGTAAATAGAACAATCTTCATGACAACATCCACAAGTTTATTACCTTCTGTATCATCTGAACATTGTCTTGTGGTTGTTGCTGCTGGTAAGAAGGGTTCATTGGGGGACCAGCCATCATGTTGCCTTCTTCTCCAGTAGCCATTATGGCTAGGAGTTTTGAAACTCAGATTATCACTTCTGAAAAAAAAATACTTGAAGATAAACAAAAAACACCATACATACTACTTCAACTGCAACATTTTTTATACTGATTGTTTCAACATTATCAAAACTTCTTATAAAACAGATTCAGCCATTAGAACTAACTTGATGGTAGAAATTTTTCATTACTTGCATTACATGTATACAAGCAACCTTCTAGCAATGGCCTAAAAATGTTGAATAAATGACATGATCAGTTTGAATAAATGAATTCAAACTACAACTTAAAATATATTTTACCAATTTTATGAAAGGCCTCTTTAAAAGCACAACTTATTCAATGTAAATACTATTTTCTGTTTAAAAATTGAAAAAAAAACATATGAAGATATATTAATATGGATGAGGAAGTAAATTGACAAAAAAAAAATGACTTATGTTTTTAGCTGTTTAAAATATATATATAACCTGAGACTATGGTACCAGAAGTTAGATAACAGTAAGCTTGACATCAATGCTGTCAAGTAAAGCTAACTAATGGTTCAAATATACACTGGAACTCATTGTTAAACAGTGCAATGAAGTTTTGTTATTAAAACTTTCTTGGGGATCGGCTTGTACAGTTGTGTATGTAACTTTTTGTTATTACACAGGTTGAAAGACAATTGAAAAATGCTGATTAATGTTGATGGTACTAAATTCTGTTACATGTATACATGTATATGTTTTTACTATAATTATGCATACACAATAGTTTTGAAAACTTGTAATAAAAACATAATCAACATAATTGCTTTATACTATAAATCATCTGATGATCCATACTCATTTGAGGGGAAAAATTGATTTGAATTCAAATATTTTATATTGATTGAGTTGACAGGTATTGTCTAACTGTGACCATTTGAATATATTGTTAAGATCAAAGGCTTTGCAATTTTCTATTCAGTTGATTGAGTTGACCATTGCTGTTCAATCGTGATCAATTGATTCTAACGTTTTGATCAAGGCTTTAACAATATTTATTCAGTTGAGTCTATTGAATATCAAGTGAATGCTAAAGAGATCAAGAAGGCAGCCCACATAAATCTATTGAACCTTTGTACATGTTAAGTGCAGGGTAAAAGAATATATAAATAACAAATCATTTATACAACTTTGTGAAATTTGATATTTGCATTTTGCTGAAAAAGATTTCTGAATGTGATTGTGTAACTTCATAATCATATAATGTACACATTATCAGATCTACGATGGAATAGAATGATGTTTATTGGTAATCACAATGGTACTTTCAAGGGAAATATTTCCACCAAGAAGAGAATCGACACCAGAGACACGAACAAAGAACCGACTTTACAACACATATAAATCATTAAATGATGTTTAACGATCATAAATAATTAGAAACCGCGCGAAAGACTAATCCAATACACAAGTTTACTTACCGGTGTCTGTAAATAAAGGTAAATTCTATAATTAGGTCACCAGTAATCAAAGCATTTATCGAGTTGTCGATGGCTTTGATTTCTATGCGCATTCATTTGACGCATGCCAATTCAACCTTGACCTTAAAATAATTAGTTGAAATTTAAAAGTTGTCTCCCATTGAAACTTCCGGCGTCCATAGAAGCGGGTCATTACAAACAAATTGCAGTATTAAGTTGCTTAAAAGTAAGCCTTTTAGATTAAGATAACTTTATGGATTTGAAAAGCTAATCAAAAGTCAATCACAGTTCATCGTCGTTCATTCACGTTTATTACAAACCCTTTAAAAATAGAGTTTAAACTTCATTTGATTTGTTTGTCTGCATGCTGTAACTTGCACGACTTCACTCTGACCATTTCCTTTTTAGACACATGCAGATTCGTACCTGTTTGAATCAAAGCAACATCCCCCGGTTTCTCAAACTGAGCATTCAATCCAACCATCTTTTGCTTCCCGTGATATAGCACTGTTGCACAACCTACCTTTTATCCTCGTAGACGTAGTCATATTATGGGTTTTCACGCTATATTGTATATACCTTATCGCTATTTATTCCTATCCGGAAAAGTTTTAAAATTACACAACTCTTTCAAACCAGTTGAAGCTATCTTGGGCCCTGTTTAAACAATGTACTGTGCATACAAAATTTCAAAGAGTTATGTTTACACCATTGGCATTAATTGTAAACACTTCAAAGAAAGCATTTTTCAAATTTTAATTTGTGTTTAAAAAATTGGATCATAAACTATACAAATTTCAAAATGTTCACTTTCTACACGTTTTCCTCCCTCAGCTAATTATTGGTGATCTTTGTACTTGCGTCACTTGACCCAAACATGAAGTTGTCTAAGTGACTATTTTTTTTCCAGATTGGATTAAATAGCGATAAGGTGTATTTAGAAAGCATTGTGACCACAATTTCCTTTGAAAAAGCACGCATAGTACGAATTCATATGACTTATGAAAACATATAAATTATCTGACCATAATTGAATAAAAATGTCATATATCTTAAAATGATAGATTTTATTCAGGGATCTCCATGACCTGTTTTATGATTGAGCACCGCCATTTATTAATTATCTTCCGCCTTTGTCAGACAATCCTGCCAACATTAAATGATCTTTCCCCATGGTCAAATGATCCCCCGCTATTGTTAGATAACTGAAAAATGATTGAAAGTGTAGTAAAAATTGTTTTCATTGGGCTAGCAGCTGCCATTTTTTTTACCAATTATAATCAATTGCATGTAGTTGCATGAACCCTATTTTATAATAATCCAAAGGGTCCTTCTGATTACTGTTTTAAAACCCTGAGGATATCAGGCCAATGATTGTTTGTCACTTGTACAGGTAGATCTACACATCCGACAGGAGAAAATATTGATCAAGCTAGACGATTAATTGCAAATATTTAATTCTTTTTAGCAAATGCTGATGAAAATTAAGATTAAAAAACAAAATTCAAATTTAATTACGATGAAAAAGGGTTAACTTGTGTCAAACACATGCTTTTATTGACTCACCCATTCCGCATCCCCCTTTTTTAATGAGTACAAGACTAGACTGATAGACGTAAAACAGAACACAATTTCATGCCAAATAACATGAGTACAAAAATAAAGATCAAATTGAATCACTTTACACGTGTAAAAGTAAATACACGAATATTAACTGCAACATGATAATCAGAAGAAATATCGTATCATAATTCTGAATTCATTTTGTAGTTTATATTCAAATTAATACATCCGGTTTAAATTCAGAATCGAAAGATGCATTTTACATGATCTATTTTTTATGGCATTTGCAGTTTTAAGTCATTAAAACCGTATCAGTTTTAAACTATTGCCCTCCAGAAATCTTTATTCAATGTTTTACAAAATCAGGTACAAAACTTCTTGTTGTTGATGCTGCAAATCATCGATCCCAGTTTGTGACTTCTGTATTGAATTTGACAGTGAGAAAAACAACCCTGATTTTTAACTCAGAACCAATTTACCAAAATAGAAACTAACCCAGGAACTTTCTAACAGGAAAAAAACTTTGACATTAACAGGACAGCTGAATTGTGGTCATCCTTGACTAAGAGCAGCTAGACTTGACATTGGAATTGAATTGACAATTATGGAAAATATTGGTTATTCTAAAATGAAATTAAGAGAATAAACAATATATCAGTCTAATCACTAATACTTACAATGAAGAGTAGGAATGATATAATTTCGATCATGACACACAGAGTTTTGTCCCGGTGAAAATAACTCCATGGTTAAATTTTCATTCTTAGCAATCCTTGTTTATTATCAATATTACCGGTATTAGACCATATGAAATAATGCTTTCAGGAAATATATTGAGAGGCTTTCAGGTTTTTAACAGGTTTTCAGGTATTCCAGGTACATGTACCGTTGTATAATCTCGTAAACCTACATGTAAAACTTAAAAGCTGCCTCAAAATACTCTACTCCAGCATCCTCCTCTAATAAAAACTGCCTGCTAAGAGTGCTGAAAGTGAAGTTTAACACCAACAATCAATCAATCAGAATGCTTACATTATGGACATCAGTGCTTTTTTTTTTTCGTATTCTGTTATGAATACCTTACTCAATACTGCATTTTATTGTAATACATGCAGTCAGGGGTACTACTTGTACAAGTAATTTTTATTTACTTGAAGAAGTAAATATTAATAAACTTATATAAGTAAATTTGTAGGATACTTATACAAGTGTATTTTATTTACTTGTATAGGTAAATTATTTTTTGGCCTAATTATGTCCCTTAGACATTCAGATTTTTTTACTTATACAAGTAAAAAAGTCATCCTATCTTCTTTTCTTGAATTCTTAGAACTTCTTTGCTCTAACAGAATTTTGAATTGTCTGTCCTTTGCTGATGTCTTCACTAATCATTTAAGTGTAATTTCATGGACAATGAAAATCTCATTTGTCTGTTATCTTCAGAACACTGCTCATTTACAAGCCCCCAAGGAGCAATTTTTGAAGGCCTTGCGCAAATACTTAAGATCTTTGCGCAATTAGTTTCTTTGATGAATTAATGAGAGGAAACATTGAACTCTTATCAAAAATTATGACCTAACCTGAGAAAAATTGTTAAAGGCATGATTTTACATCTCAAAACTTGAGAATTTTTGTGGGATTGTAAAAAAAATTTACTTATACAAGTAAATTTTTGAGAAAATTAAGGGGAGATTATTCAAACATTATAATTAACTTATATAAGTATATTTTATTTACTTCTTCGAGTAAATAAAGATTACTTGTACAAGTAGTACCCCTGACTGACATGTATCAATTTTATTTCAGAATATGTCTTTTGTAAGATTAAGAAAGACCAATCCGTCTGGAGGTATTCCCAGGAAAAAGAAAACCTTTAAAAAACTGCCAGAATGGGATGTAAGTGCATTTGTACATAAAATTAAATGTAAAAGGTATGAAGAAATGTATGAACAAAAGAAGGGCAAAGATACCAAAGGGATGTATTCAAACTGATAAGTTGAAAATGAACAGACAATGCCATGGCAATAGAACCAAAAGACAAACAGTATACAAAACACAATATAGAAAACTGAAGACTAAACAACACGAACCCCACCAAAAAACGGGAATGATTTCAAGTGCTCTGGAAGGGTAAGCAGGACCTGCTCCACATGTTGCACCCATCGTGTTGCTCATTATAGTACAAACCCTGTGATAAGTCTAATTCGGTAGATCACATTTGAGGAAAGAGAACAGGATTGTGGTTACGACAATTGAATATAGTATCAACTGGGAGTTATATTCTCCATATGCAGGCACGGATGAAATGTTTCTACATAAAAATTGAAAATTCACAATTTAAAAGCTGAAATCATCTCTTGTGGTAAAGTTTTGTTCTCAACTGACCCTCATTGTTGATTTCTAGATGTAATAAAATTGAGAATGGAAATGGTGAATGTGTCAAAGAGACAACAACCCGACCAAAGAGCAGAAAACAGCACAAGGCCACCAATGGGTCTTCAACACAGCGAGAAAATCCAGCACCGGAGGCGGGCTTCAGCTGGCCCCTAAACAAAAATGTGTACTAGTTCAGTGAAAATAGACGTCACAGTAAACTCCGAAACATAAATGAACTAAAATTAAAAAAACATACAAGACTAACAAAGGCCATTGGCTCCTGACTTGGGACAGGCGCAAAAATGCGGCGGGATTAAACATGTTTTGTGAGATCTCAACCCTCCCCCTATACCTCTTGCCAATATAGAATAAACAAACACACAGCAATATGCACAGTAAAATTCAGTTTAAAAGAAGTCTGAGTCCGATGTCAGAATAGGAAACAGAAGAAACTTAAAGCAAAATGACAATGATACATAAATTAACAAAGGACTACTAGCAGTTACTGACATGCCAACTCCAGACCTCATTTAAACTGATTGAAAGATTATGTATTCATCATATGAAAATCAAGCACAATCCCTCCCGTTAGGGGTTTAGTATCATACCATCATAAAATATATGAGAAGAACTAGATATGAGACAGACTTAAAATTATCTGTTGTATTCATTATTCCAAGTTACAGGGTAAACTAATTGTGTAAAGATTTATAGTTCAGAAGGAAGAAGACCTGGATGCTTTATGCCTTTTATACAGACCTTATTTTACAAAGATTCTGTCTGCCATATGTCCATTGTCCTTGACCACATTTTTACATGGTTCAATGACTGCTTTATTGTTATGTGGATTTCTGACTTATTATGAGTAATAAGATAACTATATTTGATGTACATGATGATAACATGATGTACATGTTGTCTGGTAGGGTTCATCTGACCTTGTTATCATTTAAACAGATTATTGATAATGTTAAGAATATGTGATACTTCATATTAAAGACTTTCAACATTAATTCAAACATGATAAGTTAAGCAGGTGAGATATATCTGTGTGTGCACTCTTGTTAAAACAAGCCACTCTAATACTGGTAATGATCTCCCCTTAAGGTATCAATAGGTGAAGGAAAGACTTATTTAAATGTGCATGTTTAACTGTATAGTATTATTATATTTAGTTTATTTGATGATTGGGTGAACTTTCTCTCATTTATTTTCCATGGTTTTTGTTTGTTTCAGGATAATTTACATGATATGAATGAATTCAAAGCTACTCCTGAAGAAATTGTAAGTTTAATTTTCTTTTAGACCTAAGTTTAATTGTTATTCTACACAATGGAAGAATGATTTTTTAATGAATTCAACTACCATTTAACACAAACCATGGTCTTTAAATCTGCTAGGCCTAATATGCCTGATTGTTGCTGAAATGGTTTTATCAATATTCTCTCTCAGAATTATTGCATTGCAAGGATTATTTCTGTTAAAAATTATCTTTAGAGTTATGCATTGAATTAAGGTGAGCAATACTGACTTTTTTGGAGCATATATATAAAAATAAGAAATTGTGGTATGATAGCCAATAAGACAACTATCCACCATAGACCAATGAGACTGTACAGCCTTCAACAATGAGCAAAATCAATAACACATGGTATTTTAGCTATAAAAGGCTCTGACATAACTGAATGTAAAGCAATTCAAACAACTTCTAATAACTGACTGTTCTTACATCAAAATCTCTATCAGTACATATCCAATGTAGTGCAACAGCTTTATTAACCATCAGAGAGAAAATGACCTTGTGTAATGCAAATCTAGTTTCTAGTTTCTTTGTTCAGAGAATCCTTCACCATTTCTTTTGATGTTTACTTTAAGGCAAGACGAAAAGAAGCACACAAGTCCAAGCATGCTTTAGCTGCAAAGCTTCAAAAACAAAGGCAGATGAAAGGTAAAAAAAACTTACAATATATTTCTGGTAGTATATGTACAATTTATGTATATAATGTATTTTTTCCCTTAGACTTGTGTTTGAAAATATGTCAAATATCAGAATTTCAATAAATAGTTTACCTTTGTAGTAATTTGAGTTAGCCACAATGTTGAAAGACACACTGTTTGATTATCTAATTTGACTAAACAAATTTTAACGTGGTATAAGCAAGTCTGATAATTGATCCTTATTACTGAATAAAGGCTTGTATAGTCCGCGGTTTTATTCTCCAAAATTGAACCTGCCAGACAGGGAATCGGACTATAGAGTACGATAAGCAAGAAATAAGAGAAAAAAACCGATTTCGCAAGGTGGTTTGTTTACGTTCCGCCATGGTTTGTTATGGATATTGTAGAGGGCGCTTTTATCATTTTCAAAACTGATATTTTTACCTCATCCATATTAATTTGATATTTTTACATATTGGTGTTTCATACTGACGCATGTGTTTTGTTTTAGCGTAAGATCCTTCAAACATTAATGTGATAGATATTAAAAATTGTTTTACACAAGGATGGAACTGTTTTACTTTCAAAGTCGTATTCTAGTGATATCTATTAAGTACGGATTTTCCGTACACTCTCATCGTATTTATTTTCTATTTTACACATGCTATTCAAACTTCCGGTTTAAACATGCACAAGTTTCTAAATTGTTTTTTTTGTGTGATTTTAACTTATTTTAACACTCATGAAGTGTTCTAGAATCTTTTACAAGCTGTTTCAACTGCTATTTGATGCACGTTTTCCCATGAAACGACCACACACGATTTGAAATTACCGGAGTTTCATTAGACATTTTCAGACAGTTACAAAAAGTTTTTTTACCTGAAATTTCGTGGCGTAAAGGGGGGTGCGGACAATGTACCAGTGCAAACTATACAAGCCTGATTAAGGTAGATAGTAGTGATCAATTATATACAGCTTAAAAAAATGAAAATTGTCCAGAATAAGTCTGTCTAAAGACTAGAACTAGACTGGGTAAAGACACTGTATTTTCCTTCTTGTTAACAAAAAAATCTGACCTACCAACAGTTTAGCTCTTTGGAAAGAAACCATAAATCTATATATTTATTTTGGCCCTATTCAAAATTAATTTAACTTCTAGGAACTACAACTCTGCACATTTATTTAGCATAGTGATAGATTTGTACTGTTACACATTATGCAATATATTTTGCATATTGTTATGTACTACAATATACAGGCTAAATTTACAAAGAATATCATAAATTGAGATAATTTTTTTTTTCATTTTCTTCTTCCATGAATAGTACTAAATTATGATCAATGTAATGGTCAGGAATTAAAAAAGCATATAAAAGTTATTATTTTTACCAGCTATTATATATTACTGGTCATTTGATATTTTACAGCAAGGAAAGCTGATTTGAGCATTTCTAATACAGAAGCAAGGAAGCTGGCCATAATGAAAGAAGTTTTGTATGACCAACAAGAGGTAAAATTCATTTATATTTTCTTATTTGACCTATTAAGTAAAAAAGTGCTGCTTTGAATTTGAACTAGGAAATATTTGTCAGGTTTCTTATCACTTATTTTGTTATGAAAATAATATCACAAATATATCATGCATATATATTTAATCTATAAGGAAGATCAAACTAAGGGATAACAAAAAACACAGAAATAAAACCTTGCGAACAGGTTTGATCCTAGAAATCACAAAGTTAAAACCATGTGAAAATAAATCAATAACAGTATGAATTATTTATTTGCTTTAAAAATTGATAATGATAACATTATAGTTTCAGAATGTTCTAGCCAAATCAGATAAAATGATGGCTGTTGTTAAAGACCTGTTTGGGGATGCACCCAATGTAAGTAATGCCAGGAAAATGTAATAAACAGGGTTCATTGCAACTCTCTTAGAGGAGTCATTGAATCATTAGTTTCACAATTGACTCATCATAAGTGTCAATAGTAACCTTTGTGATATTTGTAATGGAGACAAATAGAATTTTAACTACCAAAAATTAAACCCTATACTTTTCGTTAGTGAAATGAATAGTTTTATCATGGCACAAGTTATATGTACAGGTACATTAACATGTGCCATGATAAAAATAGCTTCTTGATTACTCAACCCACTCTCTTCCTTCATGCATATCAATAGGTTAATATTGGTACTTTAAAAACTGTACAGTTGAAATAAGTTCATAAAAAAACACTTGAAATAAATCTAAGATGATGTGGTATGATTGCCAATAAGACAAAACTATCCACCAGAGTTCAAATGAAATGGATGAAAGCAATTATAGGCAGCTGTACGGCTTTCAACAATGAGAAAAACCCACACCATAATAGCTATAAAAGGCCCCAACATGAAAAATCTGAAACAATTCAAACGAGGAAAACTTAACGGCCCAATTTATAACAAAACAGATACGACAGACATGAACCAACGACAACCACTGAACTACAGACTCCTGACTTGGGACAGACACATGAAGAATGTGGTGGGGTTAAACATGTTTGTGAGCACTCAACCATGCCCTAACCTAGGACAGTGGTATAGCAGCACAACATAAGAACATACTTAAAATCAGTAGCAATTGGCATAACTCAAAAGATCAATACAAGAAACAAAAATAACTAACATCAAAACAATAGACACAAAGCACTGGAATAAGAGTACTTGTAGTTACTGAAATCTTGTTCAAAGCCAATTACAACTATTAAATAAATCATTTTCTCCCAAACTAAAGTTAACTGAGTTAATTATAAGGGTATTTTTGACATTATATACTGCTTACTGAAGTATTATCTATAAATTTTCAGTAGTACTTTTCTATACAATACATCTTTCAGTAGTATATGTAATGATCTTTAGTATACCAGTATATTTACTAATGCAATATGAAATGTATTATTTATTTGTAGAGAATGCCTGGTGTTCCAAATGTAACTTCAGCACCAAATGGTGATGGAAATCACAGGTAAATATATTTCTATTTCTTCATGATAAGGATTTTGTAGAAAATTAATTATACATCTCATCTAATAACATAATACATCATTTCTAACTACAAAATGTGTTTGTTTCTTGTTATTGCTCTATCAAAAAAAATCTTCAATTACAGGTTCTGAGAAGAATTGTGTTTTAAGGGGAGAAAAGTATTCTCAAGTATCAATATATTTTGACTGCATACTTTTCTCGTTAAAGTGGCATGAAGTGTAATAACTGTAAAAAAATAATATAAATAAATACCCTGTAGTCATAGTATTGTAAATCAATAACAGACAGCTGATATTTGTGTAAATGAGAATGTGCAGGTGAATCGTGTCAAATTATCTGTCACCGATTAAGGGGGTTTCAAGATGTTTCTCATACCAAGTTCTTGGCGAATAGATAATATTAAAATTTTCTTAATTTTGAACAAAATATCTAGAAAACCATATGATATACTCATAAGTATGTGCATGCATAATGTTAAGTTTTCAGGTCTGTATAAAAATAAGGAGATGTTGTATGATTGCCAATGAGACAACTAACCACCAAAGGACAAAGTACAAGGATGTAAATATCTAGGGTCACTGTAACGCCTGCAGCAATAGGCAAAAACCATTACATATAGTAAGCTATAAACAGCTCTAGGATAACAGAATGTGAAACAACTCAAAACAAAACTAACAGTCTGATTTCAACTAATAACATTAAAAGAAAAACATTTGTGACATACGGCAACCAACAACAGTCATTGAACTACAGGGTCTTGCCTTGAAACAAAAACATAAAAAAATTGAGAAGGTTAAACATGTTTTTGAGCACTCTGCTAAACCCTCCTCTAACATGGGACAGCAGTGCAACAGCCCAGCATGATAAAAATCAGTTTAGGTCCATTTCAAAACATGTACTAATGATATATCTTTCTTATTTTGTGTATAGTTGTATCAGCATCCATGTGTCTTAATCCTACACAGTAAATGAGACCCTGTCCCCCTTTGACATGGTTTAATAATTTAAGATTTAATGTTTTGAAATAAGGTGTGTTTATGAATAACTATATATGATATACCATTTTGTATGACAGGAATATAGTTGTCCCTCTCCATGAAATCAGAACCAAATCAGATACTCTGAGTGAGTCAATGGTAGACAAGTCAGCATTGAATGACTTAGAAACAGATAGTGGTATGTTACTAATATTAGGGCATTATTAAACAGTACTTTCCCAATCCAAAATATACTTAAGAGTTTATGTCCCAGTCCAAAATATACTTAAGAGTTAATTTAAAACCTGTCCCAGAGGACTCTGTTTTGTCTTTTCATTCTTTCCCCAAATTAGATTTATTAGGCAGGTCTTTAGTCATTGATGACTGACTGCCCCTCAGATCTTATAGAAATTGGTGATTTGTATTAGATTTATTAGGCAGGTCTTTGATGACTGACTGCCCTTCAGATCTTATAGAAATCTGTGATTTGCATTAGATTTATTAGGCAGGTCCTTAGTCATTGATGACTGACTGCCCCTCAGATCTTATAGAAATCTGTGATTTGCATTAGATTAATTAGGCAGGTCCTTAGTCATTGATGACTGACTGCCCCTCAGATCTTATAGAAATCTGTGATTTGCATTAGATTTATTAGGCATGTCCTTAGTCATTGATGACTGACTGCCTCTCAGATCTTATAGAAATCTGTGATTTGCATTAGATTTATTAGGCAGGTCCTTAGTCATTGATGACTGACTGCCCCTCAGATCTTATAGAAATCAGTGATTTGCATTAGATTTATTAGGCAGGTCCTTAGTCATTGATGACTGACTTCCCCTCAGATCTTATAGAAATCTGTGATTTGCCTTAGATTTATTAGGCAGGTCCTTAGTCATTGATGACTGACTGCCCCTCAGATCTTATAGAAATCTGTGATTTGCATTAGATTTATTAGGCAGGTCCTTAGTCATTGATGACTGACTGCCCTCAGGTCTTATAGAAATCTGTGATTTGCCTTAGATTTATTAGGCAGGTCCTTAGTCATTGATGACTGACTGTCCCTTAGATCTTATAGAAATTGGTGATTTGCATTAGATTTATTAGGCAGGTCCTTAGTCATTGATGACTGACTGCCCCTCAGATCTTATAGAAATCTGTGATTTGCATTAGATTTATTAGGCAGGTCCTTTGTCATTGATGACACACTGCCCCTCAGATCTTATAGAAATCAATGATTTGCATTAGATTTATTAGGCAGGTCCTTAGTCATTGATGACTGACTGCCCCTTAGATCTTATAGAAATCTGTGATTTGCCTTAGATTTATTAGGCAAGTCCTTAGTCATTGATGACTGACTGCCCCTTAGATCTTATAGAAATCTGTGATTTGCCTTAGATTTATTAGGCAGGTCCTTAGTCATTGATGACTGACTGCCCCTCAGATCTTATAGAAATCTGTGATTTGCCTTAGATTTATTAGGCAGGTCCTTAGTCATTGATGACTGACTGCCCCTCAGATCTTATAGAAATCTGTGATTTGCATTAGATTTATTAGGCAGGTCCTTAGTCATTGATGACTGACTACCCCTCAGATCTTATAGAAATCTGTGATTTGCATTAGATTTATTAGGCAGGTCCAAAGTCATTGATGACTGACTGCCCCTCAGATCTTATAGAAATCTGTGATTTGCATTAGATTTATTAGGCAGGTCCTTAGTCATTGATGACTGACTGCCCCTCAGATCTTATAGAAATCTGTGATTTGCATTAGATTTATTAGGCAGGTCCTTTGTCATTGATGACTGACTGCCCCTCAGATCTTATAGAAATCTGTGATTTGCATTAGATTTATTAGGCAGGTCCTTAGTCATTGATGACTGACTACCCCTCAGATCTTATAGAAATCTGTGATTTGCATTAGATTTATTAGGCAGGTCCATAGTCATTGATGACTGACTGCCCCTCAGATCTCATAGAAATCTGTGATTTGCCTTAGATTTATGAGGCAGGTCCTTAGTCATTGATGACTGACTGCCCCTCAGATCTTATAGAAATCGTTGATTTGTCTTAGATTTATTAGGCAGGTCCTTAGTCATTGATGACTGACTGCCCCTCAGATCTTATAGAAATCGGTGATTTGCATTAGATTTATGAGGCAGGTCTTTAGTCATTGATGACTGACTGCCCCTCAGATCTTATAGAAATCTGTGATTTGCTTTAGATTTATTAGGCAGGTCCTTAGTCATTGATGACTGACTGCCCCTCAGATCTTATAGAAATCTGTGATTTGCCTTAGATTTATTAGGCAGGTCCTTTGTCATTGATGACTGACTGCCCCTTAGATCTTATAGAAATCAGTGATTTGCCTTAGATTTATTAGGCAGGTCCTTAGTCATTGATGACTGACTGCCCCTCAGATCTTATAGAAATCTGTGATTTGCATTAGATTTATTAGGCAGGTCCTTAGTCATTGATGACTGACTGCCCCTTAGATCTTATAGAAATCGGTGATTTGCCTTAGATTTATTAGGCAGGTCCTTAGTCATTGATGACTGACTGCCCCTCAGATCTTATAGAAATCTGTGATTTGCCTTAGATTTATTAGGCAGGTCCTTAGTCATCGATGACTGATTGCCCCTCAGATCTTATAGAAATCGGTGATTTTCATTAGATTTGAACCCTCCATAGTACATGTTTGTAGGAATTTTTTAATGTATCTGAAAAAGTCTGAATTTTTGTACCTACCAGTTGGTAGTTTATAAAGAAAACTTACTAACATTTTTAAATAGAAAATCGCCAGCATTTGTAAGCTCATTGTTAGAGTATTTTCATTAATTTGTAATATGGTTTCCAATGTTACTGTTTAAAATTGCTATGTTTTCCTTTAGGGCTATTCCATTAAAATGTATGTGGGAGGGTAGGAAGGGACTTTTAAAATATCCCTACAACCAAGAACCATTTTTTAGATAATTTTGCATAATGGTAATAGATGCATACTTAAAAAAGACCCATGGCCCACATTCAATAATTAAACTTCCCTTCCTACCCTCCCACATACATTTTAATGGAATAGCCCTTATAAAGTTACATAAAGTTTATTCTTTATTATTCGGTAAAAATAGGTGTTTTCAATAGACTTTTTTATTTTTTTTGGTTTATTTATATTGACAGGTGAACTAGTTTTAATACAGTAAATTAGGAAATGATTTATTAGAAAATGAATAAATACTTTGATGAGATATTCAGATTATGTACATTTATTTTTTATTATCAGATGATGAGGATGACGAAGATCCAAGTTTCTATCAACCTAAATTTAATTTAGAGAGATTTCAACAATTTTTGGCTAATGAAGAAAAGAATCATACAATCAGCACAATCAGTGGTCAAGCACAAATGAGCCACCTTGACCAAGGTCCAATACAAAGTACACAGATACAGTTAGACAGCATGCAGAATACTAGAGGTATGGGCTAAAGTAGACTTTTATTCATATAGTTATTTAAAAAAAAAAAAGTGATCAAAAGTTTTCAGTTGAAAGTCCCAGTAACTCCTTTTTTGGGGGTAAAGATGCAAGCCTGCAATCAAAACCCTTATGTGGCTGGCTCGATAGTTTTCCACATTTTATCATTACTTTTGATATACACAAAACATAGTGCATTGAGCACAAAATTTTTGAATCCTACCTACGAAAAGTTTAAAAAATTTATCAATGAAATATATACTCAGATACTTAGGGATCATAGATTTATTCTTACGAGGAAGCTCGGAGCATGCTCGGAGGATGCTCAGAGCTTTTTAGCAGGCTCTTCTCACCAGTTTATGTGACAATAATTATCATGATCAATTAAGATGTCAATCAAATCTATAGTACTTCTATAATAAGGAAAGTAGAGCATAGTAGAGGAAGCTCAATTAACACCTATGTAAACATCTGGTCTATTCAAATAAATCTTGAATGAAATTTTACAAAACTATAAAATAGATTAGAAATTCTTCAATAGTACTGTACAATGCTTGGCAAGAAATATCGTCTTCACAGAAAGATAATGTTTTTAAAATTTGTTCCTATTTATAATCATTCTTTTTCAATACAAAAAAAAATCAAATTTTATATTTAAAATATAAATATATCTTAAATTTATACTATATAAAATTATACATAAAAGTCACCAAAGACACAAACTATGGTAAGAGGTGTATAATGATTTGTTAAAATTTATTTGAAAGAAAATGATGGCTACTTTGGGAAATAGTTGTAATTCATAGGCTGGGTTGAAAGATTGTTCACAATATAATTATTATGATAACTTGATTTTAGTTCAGCAATCCTCTATATCTTTTTCTTGAATAAAGTTTTTGATTTTTTTATGATAACTAAATGGATTCAGTGCACCAAAAACTTTACAACAAAAAATTATACTGTATTCTAGAATCCCTTTTGTTTTTCATTTTAAATTCTAGTTCTTCATTACATTGATTTGTATAAAAAATGTTCATTTTTTTTCAAATATCACTTTTAAGCTTAATCAAAATGCAGAAAGTCATAATTACATTTGATATCCCTGAATGATAATTGCAAGATTTCCATTTCATATAACCTCCTTTCTCTATTTATAAATGTGAACAGAAGAGCAAATCATCATTAAATTGAGAAGTCATTTAAATTTATACAATCTATTCTGCTGTCTGCTTAAAATTTAGAAATTGATTCGTTTCCCTAATGCTTTAAGTCAATTGAATACCAGTTTAAAACATACTGTTATTTTATACTATCTATTATAACTGCAGTCAAAAATTCTTTAAATAATTTATTTTAAGTTAGGAAAATGGCAGTTTAGAAGTTGTGTTTGAGGCCTAGAGAACAGGCAATTTTCTTGAACAATTTGCAGACTTGACTTATATATTCTAGGTCCCTCACTTACAAATATTTAAAGATGTATAGTAATTATTGTTCAATTGGTTTGCTTTTGATTCAGCATACGACTGTCATGACTGTAGGAACATGACAATAGGTAGTCACGACTATACCACCTTAAAGTAGGGGTTACATTATTGTTTATCTACCATATATAAAATATTCTAATATCATCAGTTTCTATCTTATTTTTTGATAACTGTATTTAAAATTGGAATCAATTATTATTGTTGAAGATGTTTTTTATTTAACAGCAAACTGCATTTTAATATTAACAAAATATTTAATATGGAGCATAAAAGAGGATGCTCTAAGATAAACTGTAAAATGGGTTATTCCCTCAAACTATAATGTTTATATAATATATCATGCTGTGATGTAAACCTTTGATAATAATGTTTTGCATCTACACAGATTTCTAAACAGTATTATTGGACAGACTGCAGAGAGACTTGTATCAATATTTACTTTTAAATTGTGTGATCATATTTTACTTGTGTAAATTGATTATTAAACAACATAAGACAAGCAAAAAATAATTAATTAAACTCCAAACAACTGCCACAATTTCCTATACTAATGAATATAATTATGCCTAAAATTCTTACTAACTTTGATTTATGTTGTTTTTTTTTATAATTATACTCATGAATCTAAAAAGAAAAAAAAAATAGTTTGAATCTTATAGAAAAAATTTCAGTATATATATATATTTATATTTTTAGGATTTGTTTTATATTGATAGTATGTACTGATAAAGACCTTGAACTAAAATCCATTCATTTTACTCCGTTATATTGTCAAAACTCTTTCAAGGTGTACAACTACTAAAATATAGTACATTCAGTTTCAAGCCAAAAATGGTTGATTTTTTTTTATATATCCCATTTAATTTGACAGTTGTTGGAAAATAACCCTGCATTTCATTGCAGAAAGTTTTTTTTTGGTCGTTAACATGTACCTTGGGTGTTTCAAAACAATAAAACTTTCTAGTTGGTGTTGCTATAAAATATTTTTGAAATTTAAGGGAACACTGCTACTAAAGCTGGTAAACAGGAAAAAAAGGGGAAGAGGAATTTGACTGGATAAAACTTCACTCATGTAGAGTATTTCTTTATTTAAAACATAGATAAAATCAGCACATTTAAAAAAAAAGGCAAATTAAACAAAGACTTATGGGGAAAAACAAGTTTATGTTAAATTTTCACTATAGTAATGGGCAGGATAAAACTTTACTAATGCCAAATATTTCTTTATTTAAAACAAAGATAAATTCTACATAATTAAAAAAAAAGTCAATTAAACAGATTGTTTAGTTAGGGGCATTACTCAAACAATTAATTTTCAAAATTACCTATACAATTTATGTTGAAAACGATGCTATATCATATATTACTCCTATTTCATGTATAAAAAAAAAACTTATTTTAAATTCTTTTTTATATGTGTCCGTTCATACAGGTTTTAATAGCTTTAACAAATTTTCACAGACGTCTGGTTATTTTTCCCATGAAATATAAAACTAATCCTCCTGAAACACTAATTGCCTTTCTGAGCCAGCTTCTGGGTCGAAGATTGTCCTCTTGGGACTATCAAAATATCATTTTCCTTTAAAATCTTAATGGTAGACAAATATAAATAGATGGAACCTTGTGATTTAATTAAGACTTGAAGTTATTTATAATGTGAAATCTAAAACAATAACATATGTTCCATAAATAATTATAAGTACTAATTTCAAAGATGTATAAAATAATTCATAAAAGTATTTTAGATATTTTAGAGTAACCTTTTTCTCACATTTGATAAATACTTATTTTTATTTAATGAAATTATATAGAAATTCTTAAAAACTACATTTAGTTCATGCTTCTATTGACATTTAAAATAACTATTGAGTTATTAAATAATTTTTAAAAACAAAAAAAATATAAGTAACTAAAAACAATAACTTGTTTAGTATCGCCCCCTGACTGTTGTTTGTGTCTTGATGACATTTATGTAGCATATTATATAGTATAATATCTAAATTATATAATCTAATTATAAAATATAAGAATTTTTTTATTATTAAAAAAGAATGGTTATTCAATATAATAAGAAAATATTTTAATGACTTACTTTTTGTGGAAACTTGACATTTTTTTCCAAGCATTTCTCAGTACTGATGAAGAATTTCTAATCTATTTTATAGTTTTGTAAAATTTCATGCAAAATGTATTTGAATAGACCAGATGTTTACACAGGTGTTAATGGAGCTTCCTCTATAATGCTCTACTTTCCTTATTATAGAAGTTCTATAGATTTGATAGACATCTTAATGGATCATGATAATTATTGTCACATAAACTGCTGAGAAGAGCCTACTTATAAAGCTCCGAGCATCCTCCAAGCATGCTCTGAGCTTCCTCGTAAGAATAAATCTATGATCCCTTAAGTTACAAAATGATGTGCATGTGTATCACATACTTGTCAAAACATTACATAAATTGTGCATGGTGCATGAATCTTGTATCTGTTCTAAAAATATCAATGATGTCATTGTTTAAAGTAATATTTAAATTGGAGTTATCTTCCTTTTGATATAATTGTAGTTGAAACTACAATTAAAATCTCCAATTCTTCACAGTAATGCCTTTCAATGCTTAATACATTACAATGTTTAATTTTTAGTTTCCACTTCCAGTGCTTAATACATTACAATGTTTAATTTTTAGTTTCCACTTCCAATGCTTAATACATTGCAATGTTTAATTTTTAGTTTCCACTTCCAATGCTTAATACATTGCAATGTTTAACTTTTAGTTTCCACTTCAAAATGAATGCAATCTTTTCCCTTCAGTGCTCACAGGCACTTTGATTCTATTAATACAGTTTCTCTCATGTGTATTTTACAATGAAAGATCAAAATAAATTTAATTCACTAAAATACATTTAAATCTTAAGATTTTGAGACACCAAAGAAACAGTTGAATGGTTCAATTTTGAAAGCACCAAATTCTGCAATGAATGACACAAACAAAATAAAGAAGTCAAAGAAAAGAGTGGCACCTAGTCCACAGCAACACAACACTACTTCTAATATGAATCTAACAGATCTTAGGAAGGTAAGCAATTACAAACATTATTTATAGTTATTTAAATACATTGAATTTTTGTTTAGCCTGCAGACTTTCATCGCAGGCAAAACAAAAATGCAAAAATGGCAAGACATAGGTCTTGATTTGTTGTGGGGATGGCTTCAACAATTATAAAGTTTTCTGCTTAAGTCAGTTTGATAGGACCTACTTTTGATAGATCAATGATATTTTCTATAAAGTTGCATTACTATCATGACATTAGAGTTTGATGACTATTTTGAGGCCCTGCCCCCTAGGTCATGGTCCAGTGACTTTCAATTAATTAGCAATGTTGCTGTCCATCAGATTGTCTTTTTCTGAATTTTCTATCGACAGACGAGACATATCTCTGTGTCAACAGTTTATTTATCAAAAAGGATTGATTCTTATTGAAGATGATCTCCTTTGCATAGGAATACAGTAGTCCATCTCTTAAACAATCCTGAGCAAGGACCACAGGCCTTGTAAGGACAGAAACCTTGAGTAAAAACTTATTTCTGTGTAAAATCACCTCTTAAAATAAAAATTAATTTTCTGCAGAAAGGTTATAATTTCATTCTTGAATACAACTGACAGATCGGTTTCAAGATTGATTTCAACCACAAAATGTATCTTGAAATTGATGATTGTGTCCTATAATTGATTGTAACGTTTGCAAGTTTAATTCATTATAGGTATTGGAAGGTTTGGAAGATGAAATAGCAGAATATGAAAGAAGTACTGGTAGAAGAGCCCCAGCAGAGAGACACAGACAGGAAAATTTCTCTGGTTATACATTGTCTATTGTTGACTCTGTTACAAAATTATGTAGATATCTCAAAGAGGTATGGAATATGTTGAGTTAATCATATGCATCAGTATATATTAATGTCAAATAATATGTAAGAATTTAAAACTTTGTTTTTTAAGACCATCAGCCCTATAAATTTATATATTTATTTAATGAACTGTACTATATTAAGTACTTTTTTACATCTTGAATTTCCAAATAATTAGTATTTATCATTCAATATTTAAAAAATACTGTTATTTTATAGGCCAGGGACTTAGAAATCGTTTCTTCATTTCTAATATCCTAACAACAACTTCTATTTTGAATAATCACTATATAATTCCTAATTTGTGGAACAGCTTCTTGTATTATATTCTACATATCATGTCTTATTTAAGTTACTGTAAATTCAGAAATTATTGCGAGGTTTTTATTAATGCGAATAATGCGACTGAGTGAGTATCGCAATAATAAGAACTCGCATTCTGATATCTGATTGATATATCTGAATGCAGTTTATCCTGAAATCACAATAATTAATCTCGCATTTTTTACCATTCTTCAAAAATCGCAATAATAAATGCACGCAATAATTTCTGAATTTACAGTAAAAGATCTCATATCTGTTATAATTCCTGCAGTGAATATTGCAGGAGTAAACTAGGTGTTACTTGACAGTATTAATGGTGATAATGGTAGCATCAGTACCAAGGATCCGGAAATTTTTTCACACAATTTCGGTCATTTTGTGATGACTTAAAAGTTGGTGCCCTTTATTCAAATTGTCGATAGCAAACTAGATACATAGCATCAACGAACTTGTATTGACTGTTTCATTGCATTTACTTCATGAATTTTCTTACCATTTTTCTAAAAACATTCAACAGTTTAGGGAAGGCAACTGTTTAAAATTGACATTATTTTAATGACTCAAAATGATTAATTTTTCAGACATCGCCAACGTTTCTTTTGATTTTGAAGATGAAATTAAAACCGGAAGTTTGGCAACAATACTAAACAACGAGTTATTCCGGATTCAATTCAGGGATTCGTTTTGTCTATCAAATTGACAGGAAATCACCGGCTTTTTAATTTTATTACCTTTAAAAGTATTTGAATATAACAGGTAATAGTTGCACTTGTTTAATTTAGCATGAAATCATTTTGCATTTTACGATTAAATGTCTAATCTGCTGGAGACAATTTCACGCATGCGTATTGCATAGTAAATAAAGCACATGTGTTACTCGTGAAAAAATACTTTTTTCTACGTAAATTAATTTTAGTTTTAATTTTTAAATCAGAATTGATGATAGTCTTTGCTGAAAAGTAATTAAATAACGAATACAGTTGTCATGGAATTTTAATATCTTTATGATATTAGTTCTGAGCTTGTGATCAATGTCAGGTGTGAATTAAAAACACAGGTCAAAAGTGATTAGCGATCATTTGCCAATATTTCCCGGAGGCATTAATATAGTTATTAGGAGGGCCCTCAGGATTATCAAACTATACTGAAGTGGCAGTTTTATTACAGGAAAGGGATTTTAAAACAAAAACAAGTGCAAAATGGCAATTAAGAAACACGATCTCAATGAAATGACCGAAATTATTTCTGTAAAAAAAATTAAATTTGTCATAAATCCCAAGTTTTCCTTTAGGACAAATAGCTTTCAGTTTAGGTCATGACTGGCAAATATGACCTTCCAGACCCTTGATCAGTACCTTATGCCAAGATTTCTGTTTAAGCTGATTTTTGTGTTATAGATTTGATTTTTTAGTAGAGAGTTTCATTAATGCATCTCAATTATTGTGCTGAATACTATGCCTTGCTGATGCATAATAATTAGATATTAAAATGTTTGAATGAAATCTTTCTTTAGCTAACATTTCTGTTTTCTTTTTCAGAATGAATTACGGCTGAAAGCTGAGACAACAGTAAGAGAACAGCTAACAGAAGATGTAACACAATTAGCACAGCTTATTGATGCTCTTACCTCTGTAAGTTTGTTACACAGTTAGCACAGCTTATTGGTACTCTTACCTCTGTAAGTTTGTTACACAGTTAGCACAGCTTATTGGTACTCTTACCTCTGTAAGTTTGTTACACAGTTAGCACAGCTTATTGGTACTCTTACCTCTGTAAGTTTGTTACACAGTTAGCACAGCTTATTGGTACTCTTACCTCTGTAAGTTTGTTACACAGTTAGCACAGCTTATTGGTACTCTTACCTCTGTAAGTTTGTTACACAGTTAGCACAGCTTATTGATGCTCTTACCTCTGTAAGTTTGTTACACAGTTAGCACAGCTTATTGGTACTCTTACCTCTGTAAGTTTGTTACACAGTTAGCACAGCTTATTGGTACTCTTACCTCTGTAAGTTTGTTACACAGTTAGCACAGCTTATTGGTACTCTTACCTCTGTAAGTTTGTTACACAGTTAGCACAGCTTATTGGTACTCTTACCTCTGTAAGTTTGTTACACAGTTAGCACAGCTTATTGGTACTCTTACCTCTGTAAGTTTGTTACACAGTTAGCACAGCTTATTGGTACTCTTACCTCTGTAAGTTTGTTACACAGTTAGCACAGCTTATTGATGCTCTTACCTCTGTAAGTTTGTTACACAGTTAGCACAGCTTATTGGTACTCTTACCTCTGTAAGTTTGTTACACAGTTAGCACAGCTTATTGGTACTCTTACCTCTGTAAGTTTGTTAGACAGTTACATAGCTTATTGGTACTCTTACCTCTGTAAGTTTGTTACACAGTTAGCACAGCTTATTGGTGCTCTTACCTCTGTCAGTTTGTTATACAGTTAGCACAGCTTATTGGTACTCTTACCTCTGTAAGTTTGTTACACAGTTAGCACAGCTTATTGGTACTCTTACCTCTGTTAGTTTATTATACAGTTAGCACAGCTTATTGATGCTCTAACCTTTGTAAGTTTGTTACACAGTCAGCACAGCTTATTGATGCTCTTACCTCTGTCAGTTTGTCACACAGTTAGCACAGCTTATTGAGGCTCTTACCTCTGTTAGTTTATTATACAGTTAGCACAGCTTATTGATGCTCTAACCTCTGTAAGTTTGTTGCACAGTTAGCACAGCTTATTGATGCTCTTACCTCTGTCAGTTTGTTATACAGTTAGCACAGCTTATTGATGCTCTTACCTCTGTTAGTTTATTATACAGTTAGCACAACTTATTGATGCTCTAACCTCTGTAAGTTTGTCACACAGTTAGCACAGCTTATTGATGCTCTAACCTCTGTAAGTTTGTCACACAGTTAGCACAGCTTATTGATGCTCTAACCTCTGTTAGTTTGTTGCACAGTTAGCACAGCTTATTGATGCTCTAACCTCTGTAAGTTTGTTATACAGTTAGCACAACTTATTGATGCTCTTACCTTCGTAAGTTTGTTATACAGTTAGCACAGTTTATTGATGCTCTTACCTCTGTAAGTTTGTTGCCCAATCTCTTGTATTTTTATGATTCCATTTTTGGTATTTATTGATCAAAAACCAAAAAAATTAACAGGTTTACCAGACCTTTTTCAATTTTAATAGATTTGATATGAATGTATATTAAATTCATAAATAAGAAAGCTAAATTTTGAAATTATTATCCTGGAACTTCTTATTGAATCAGTATCCAGTATATTTATTATTTGATTAACAATGAAAACTTTCCAATTTTACCTAATTTATAAGCACAAAGTCATCTTGTTTATCAGCTTTAGGCAAACTCTTAAGTAAACGTAATTTGCACTGCATAGGTATGTTAAATAAATATACATTGAACAGTTGTAAGCTGATCAAAGTTTTATAAGTCCCCTACCGATGAAGTCGAAGGGGACTTTAGTTTTGCACTCTGTCTGTCTGTCTGTATGTCTGTCTGTCAGTCCGTCAAATCAGTTTTCCACTCATTTTTTCTTCGTACTTGAAGATATTGATTTGATATTTGGTATATAGTTTTATCATGAAAAGTTACAGATCAAGTTCGAATTTTGTTCCGGTCTGATGATTTTGTGCAAAGTTATGGTCCTTGAACTTAGAAAATTCACTTAAATAATCAGTTTTCCACATCATTCACTCCAAGGCTCATATCTTAATCAAAGTGTTGATTAAAAAATTGTGGAATGCCATTTTAGTGTATACTAGTGGTATCAGTAATATGCAGACATGAACAATACAGAATGATCTAGGAAAGGATATCACAGTTTACTTCAATACATAGTATTATATGAACATGTACTCCTAAAGTTTCTCAAACATTGACTTTTAACATCAATTTTCAAACCAGTTAACCAGTTAATTGGTCGAATTATAATCAGAGTAAACGGTTAGGTAAAAATTTTAAATTTGACAACAATAGATTTTATCTGTCATTTTTGTTTTGTGAGGTTACATAACTTATAACAATGCACATAATGACTTGTCACTATTAAAGTAAAGAAATATAAAATCAAAGTCTTCTAATACAAGCAGAGCTAGTTATTTTTGTCTCGCCTTGACAGAGTCAAAAAGCGAGACATAGGTATGCTGTTTCCAGCGGCAGCGGCGTCAACAATGTATTAGTTTGTGATTAGGTCTAGTTCATGGAGAACCACTAGTGGTAGGTCAATGATATTTGGTATGCAGTTGTATTAGCATTGGCACATCTCATTTCCATGGAGATTATTTGGCCCCGCCTCCTCAGTCAAGGTCTATTGACTTTGAAACTTTTCATAGTTTACATGTATTAGTTTGTGATTAGATCAATTTATGGGGAACCACTAGTGGTAGGTCAATGATATTTGGTATGCAGTTGTATAAGCATTGGCATATCTCATTTCCATGGAGATTATTTGGCTCCGACCCCTTAGTCATGGTCTATAGACTTTGAAAATTTTGCTACGTTTACATGTATTAGTTAGGTCAGTTCAAGGGGAACCATTAGTGGTAGGCCAATGTTAATTGATGTTCAGTTGTATAAGCATTAGCACATCTCATTTCCATGGCGAATATTTGGCCCCGCCCAGTCAGTCATGGTCTATTTACTTTGAAACTTTTGCTTAGTTTACATGTATTAGTTTGTGATTAGATCAGTTTAAGATGAACTGCTAATGTTAAGTCAATGATATTTGGTATGCAAATTTATTGGCGTTTGCAAGTATCGTTTCCATGGAGATTATATAGCCCCACCCCTGATTATGGTTCATTGACTTTGAAACTTTTACATAATTTGCAAGTTAATGTTTGTGTTTAGGTTTGTTTAAAGGGAACGACTTATAATAAGTCAATGGTATTTGGTATGCAGTTGTATTAGCATTGGCACATCTCATTTCATGGAGATTGTTTAGCCATGTACCTTCAGTCATGGTTCATCGACTTTGAATATTTGCATAACTTACATGTTAAAGTATTGCTATTTTAATTTCAACATTTGCATTATCAAAATTACAAAAAGGCGAGACATATCTCTGTTTCAACAGTTTATTTAAAGAAAGAGTTAACTCTGTCTGACATTGTATACTTTTAAATTTTCACATGATAGTTATACATTACATGATAGTTATACATTTTCAATTAAGATGACATACAGTCAAACCTGTTAACAGTTCACACTCTTCTTATCATGCTCTAGTTATACTTATACATTTTGAAACCTCATTTTAAAGATCACTTCTTTGATTAGGTATTTTTTTTTTCTTATTTAAGGGTGACCTAATATGCAAGTTTATTATTGAATATTTATCATTTTAATAAATGTATATTGTTTTCATTACTGAAGGATATTATTCTTACACAAGAAGAGTATGCAAAATTGAATAGTAATTTTACCAGATACAGGGAAGAAACTCACAGTGAAATCCTTTATCTTAAGGTAAGTTGTAATACACAGTGAAATCCTTTATCTTAAGGCAAGTTGTAATACACAGTGAAATCCTTTATCTTAAGGTAAGTTGTAATACACAGTGAAATCCTTTATCTTTAGGTAAGTTGTAATACACAGTGGAATCCTTTATCTTAAGGTAAGTTATAATGCGCAGTGAAATCCTTTATCTTAAGGTAAGTTATAATACACAGTGAAATCCTTTATCTTAAGGTAAGTTGTAATACACAGTGAAATCCTTTATCTTAAGGCAAGTTGTAATACACTGTGAAATCCTTTATCTTAAGGAAAGTTGTAATACACAGTGAAATCCTTTATCTTAAGGTAAGTTGTAATGTGCAGTGAAATCCTTTATCTTAAGGTAAGTTGTAATATGCAGTGAACTCCTTTATCTTAAGGTAAGTTGTAATATGCAGTGAATTCCTTTATCTTAAGGTTAGTTGTAATACGCAGTGAAATCCTTTATCTTAAGGTAAGTTGTAATACGCAGTGAAAACCTTTATCTTAAGGTAAGTTGTAATATACCATACATTTAGCAATACTTTTAATATGTTTTGCTAATCTCATTTATTAATATGATAAAACATATAAAAAATATAAAATAAAAATCTCTGAAGGAATAAATTTATCTTTTCTTCATTTGATTTATTTATCAACATCATTTTATTAAAGGCTAGTTTTTCTGGGTATGTAAGGTACACAGCAAACAAAATTATTTATAATTTTAGACCTATATAATGCTGAATTAAATAGCATAAAATGAGAAAAAGAAGGCCTGCAACACTTGATTTAAAGTATTAAACACTTGTTCTTATTTTTCTATCAAAACGTTATGAAATAATAGAGATAATTTTTAAATTATTTTGAAAAAAGAAACAAAAAAAATCTGTTTTGGTTTAATTGCCTTGTGTCTTGAGTCTTTTACATTTGTTTTATATTTAAAAAAATCAGCTATATAACACTTTTAAAAGTCTATATATGTTTCATGTATTTACAGACTGATACACAAAATCTGAGTCAGTTTATGTTTTGTATTTTTATTCACAGACAGCTGTACAAAATTTGAGTCGTCCTTCTTCACAGACTGTGCCTCTGATGGAAGATATAACTCCTCCAAGACATAAATCTCCACCGCAGATCACAGGTTAGTGAAACAAGCATTGAAGATATAACTCCTCCAAGACATAAATCTCCACCGCAGATCACAGGTTAGTGGAACAAGCATTGAAAATAAATTCCTCCAAGACATAAATCTCCACCGCAGATCACAGGTTAGTGAAACAAGCATTGAAGATATAACCCCTCCAAGACATAAATCTCAACCACAGATACAGGTTAGTGAAACAAGCATTGAAGATATAACTCCTCCAAGACATAAATCTCAACCACAGATTACAGGTTAGTGAAACAAGCATTGAAGATATAACTCCACCAAGACATAAATCTCAACCACAGATCACAGGTTAGTGAAACAAGCATTGAAGATATAACTCCTCCAAGACATAAATCTCAACCACAGATCATGGGTTAGTGAAACAAGCATTGGAGATATAACTCCACCAAGACATAAATCTCAACCACAGATCACAGGTTAGTGAAACAAGCATTGAAGATATGATCATTTTGTGCAGAAACAAAATAATAGTTTTGAAAATTTTGAAAATTAATTTGAAAAATGTACAGCTGTTTAAAAATGATACAATAACAAGATATTTAATATTCAAGATGAAATAGTTACTAAACTGCATGAAAGTTCATTCATATGACAACACATGAATCAATTATATCATTACAATGTTTAACAGGTTAGGGAATTATAGCAGCAGAATTAGATAACATTTATAATAAGGGTTTACAAGAGTTCAAAAAATGTATGCAGCCTGCAGAATTAGATTATCAGTTTCTCTAAACTAGCAGAGTTGCAGCATGTGGACTAAACATTCCATTTTCAATAATTTTCCTACTATTTTGACAGAAGCTGTTTTTAGAAAATTTATTGATTATATATACAAAATGTATAATTGAAAAAGGAATGACATTTGTTCACATACTGTAGACACCATTTACAAAAAGAATTACAAAATATTTTCCAGTGAAAATGTATTGATGATAATGATGGATTGGTGTTTTACATCCAGTGGCAAATATTACATGCATATCAGGATGAGGACATGTTAATAATAAAAGATTAATTTCAGACGAACTACCTTGGCTTGAAAAGGATGTAAATGGAATACCAGATCATTTACAAGCAGATTCTGCAGCAGTTCTATTATCACCCCCTGTGAGAAAATCAAGAATTCAAAGGGAACAAGAAATATTAGAACAAATGGGTAAGATATTTCCTTACTGAAATCCTGCAAAACTTTGTATGTTATCATTAAGACGTAGATTTTGAAAACAATATGTACATTATTATGGTGTGCTTCAATAGCAGATCCAGTGCACAGAAATCACAGCCTTATTTCTGGGAATTTGAATGGCATGCTTTTATATATCTGCAACTATGGAAGACATTTGAATAAAATAAACATGTTAGTGGATTGATACACTTTATATGCTCTTCATATTATAATTTATATTCTCTGAATCTCATATTCCTAACATCCTCAAATATTTACCTTATTTGATATTCTTGAAAATCCCTAGCTTATCTTTATACTAGTACATTTACAAAACATGTCTTGTGAATGAATATCCTCAAATCAAGACAGAAATGTAAATGTCATAATGCTTTATTGCTTTATAAGTTCAACTTAACCTGAAATCTTTGTACATGCACAAATCTGATACAATGTTTTTATTAATTTGATGTTGTCTAGGAAGACAGTCATCATTAGTAGATATAACAACTGCTGTACAGAATGACTCACAACCAGATAGTGGTTTACCTACACCATATTTCAACCATCCTAATGTACCATCTTCACATTATCAATCATTACAACAACATCCCGGTTCAATTTCATCGCAATCTGGTTACCAACAGTCTGTATTAAGTACAGGGCATGTACCAGGCAATATACATACTGGTTATCAGCAGGGTGGACAAATACCAGCCACATCACTCCATCAAGTGTCACAAGTGTCAGTTCAGAATGGCATGTACATTCCTCAAAGCAGACCACAAGGTCAAACTCAAGGTCCAACAAGAATGGCTGCACCAAGCAGAACGTATTCAGTTAGTACTGTTCATCCATCAGGTGCGAATGCTCATGTACGAGTTCCTCGACCAAGTCCACTTGTTCAAAGTAATGTGGGTGTTTCATTACCAGGTACTAGACAAGTAGCGCCACCTGTACAAGGACAGTTATCTAGCCAACAGTCAGTACAACAGCAAAGTCACAAAAACCAGTTAGCAAATCAAATATCAGAACTGAACAAACAACATGAGGAAGCACAGAAACGACTTCAGAATCTGATGCAACAACAATCTAATCAGATGGCAGGGAATACTAATGATAACTATCCTATACAGGTCAGTTAGATCAGGGGCTAGAGATCAGGGGGCAGGGAATACTAATGATAACTATCATATACAGGTCAGTTAGATCAGGGGCTAGAGATCAGGGGGCAGGGAATACTAACGATAACTATCGTATACAGGTCAGTTAGATATGGGGCTAGAGATCAGGGGGCAGGGAATACTAATGATAACTATCCTATACAGGTCAGTTAGGTCAGGGGCTAGAGATCAGGGGGCAGGGAATACTAACAATAACTATCCTATACAGGTCAATTAGATCAGGGGCTAGAGATCAGGGGGCTGGGAATACTAATGATAACTATCCTATACAGGTCAGTTAGGTCAGGGGCTAGAGATCAGGGGGCAGGGAATACTAATGATAACTATCCTATACAGGTCAGTCCGGGGTCAAGGAATACTAACGATAACTATCATATACAGGTCAGTTAGATCAGGGGCTAGAGATCAGGTGGCAGGGAATACTAATGATAACTATCCTATACAGGTCAGTTAGATCAGGGGCTAGAGATCAGGGGGCAGGGAATACTAATGATAACTATCATATACAAGTCAGTTAGATCAGGGCTAGAGATCAGGGGGCCGGGAATACTAATGATAACTATCATATACAAGTCAGTTAGATCAGGGCTAGAGATCAGGGGGCAGGGAATACTAATGATAACTATCATATACAGGTCAGTTAGATATGGGGCTAGAGATCAGGGGGCAGGGAATACTAATGATAACTATCATATACAAGTCAGTTAGATCAGGGCTAGAGATCAGGGGGCAGGGAATACTAATGATAACTATCATATACAGGTCAGTTAGATATGGGGCTAGAGATCAGGGGTCAGGGAATACTAATGATAACTATCCTATACAGGTCAGTTAGATCAGGGCTAGAGATCAGGGGGCAGGGAATACTAACAATAAATATCATATACAGGTGTTAGATATGGGGCTAGAGATCAGGGGTCAGGGAATACTAATGATAACTATCCTATACAGGTCAGTTAGATCAGGGGCTAGAGATCAGGGGGCAGGGAATACTAACAATAACTATCCTATACAGGTCAGTTAGATATGGGGCTAGAGATCAGGGGTCAGGGAATACTAATGATAACTATCTTATACAGGTTAGTTAGATCACAGGCTAGAGATCAGGGGGCTGGGAATACTACTGATAACTATCATATACAGGTCAGTTAGGTCAGGGGCTAGAGATCAGGGGGCAGGGAATACTAACTATAACTATCCCATACAGGTCAGTTAGGTAAGGGGCTAGAGATCAGGGGGCAGGGAAAACTAACGATAACTATCCTATACAGGTCAGTTAGAACAGGGGATAGAGATCAGGGGGCAGGGAATACTAATGATTACTATCCTATACAGGTCAGTAAGGTAAGGGGCTAGAGATCAGGGGCAGGGAATATTAACGATTATCCTATACAGGTCAATTAGAACAGGGGATAGAGATCAGGGGGCAGGGAATAATAATGATAACTATCCTATACAGGTCAGTTAGATCAGGGGGCTAGAGATCAGGGGGCAGGGAATATTAACGATAACTATCCTATACAGGTCAGTTAGATCAGGGGATAGAGATCAGGGGTCAGGGAATACTAATGATAACTATCCTATACAGGTCAGTTAGATATGGGGCTAGAGATCAGGGAGCAGGGAATACTAATGATAACTATCCTATACAGGTCAGTTAGGTAAGGGGCTAGAGATCAGGGGGCAGGGAATACTAACGATAACTATCCTATACTGGTCAGTTAGGTAAGGGGCTAGAGATCAGGGGGCAGGGAATACTAATGATAACTATCCTATACAGGTCAGTTAGATCAGGGGATAGAGATCAGGGGTCAGGGAATACTAATGATAACTATCCTATACAGGTCAGTTAGATATGGGGATAGGGATCAGGGGGCAGGGAATACTAATGATAACTATCATATACAGGTCAGTTAGATCGGGGGCTAGAGATCAGGGGGCAGGGAATACTAATGATAACTATCCTATACAGGTCAGTTAGATCAGGGGGCTAGAGATCAGGGGGCAGGGAATACTAACTATAACTATCCCATACAGGTCAGTTAGATCAGGGGGCAGGGAATACTAACGATAACTATCCTATACAGGTCAGTTAGATCAGGGGATAGAGATCAGGGGTCAGGGAATACTAATGATAACTATCCTATACAGGTCAGTTAGATCAGGGGATAGAGATCAGGGAGTAGGGAATACTAATGATAACTATCCTATACAGGTCAGTTAGGTAAGGGGCTAGAGATCAGGGGGCCGGGAATACTAACGATAACTATCCTATACAGGTCAGTTAGGTCAGGGGCTAGAGATCAGGGGGCAGGGAATACTAATGATAACTATCCTATACAGGTCAGTTAGGTCAGGGGCTAGAGATCAGGGGGCAGGGAATACTAACGATAACTATCCTATACAGGTCAGTAAGGTCAGGGGCTAGAGATCAGGGGGCAGGGAATACTAACGATAACTATCCTATACAGGTCATTTAGATCAGGGGCTAGAGATCAGGGGGCAGGGAATACTAACGATAACTATCCTATACAGGTCAGTTAGATCAGGGGCTAGAGATCAGGGGGCAGGGAATACTAATGATAACTATCCTATACAGGTCAATTAGATCAGGGGCTAGAGATCAGGGGGCAGTGAATACTAATGATAACTATCTTATACAGGTCAGTTAGATCAGGGGCTAGAGATCAGGGGGCAGGGAATACTAATGATAACTATCCTATACAGGTCAGTTAGATCAGGGGCTAGAGGTCAGCGGGCAGGGAATACTAATGATAACTATCCTATACAGGTCAGTTAGATCAGGGGCTAGAGATCAGGGGGCAGGGAATACTAATGATAACTATCATATACAGGTCAGTTAGATCAGGGGCTAGAGATCAGGGGGCAGGGAATACTAACGATAACTATCGTATACAGGTCAGTTAGATATGGGGCTAGAGATCAGGGGGCAGGGAATACTAATGATAACTATCCTATACAGGTCAGTTAGGTCAGGGGCTAGAGATCAGGGAGCAGGGAATACTAATGATAACTATCTTATACAGGTCAATTAGATCAGGGGCTAGAGATCAGGGGGCAGGGAATACTAACAATAACTATCCTATACAGGTCAGTCCGGGGTCAAGGAATACTAACGATAACTATCATATACAGGTCAGTCAGATCAGGGGCTAGAGATCAGGGGTCAAGGAATACTAACGATAACTATCATATACAGGTCAGTTAGATCAGGGCTAGAGATCAGGGGTCAGGGAATACTAATGATAACTATCATATACAGGTCAGTTAGATATGGGGCTAGAGATCAGGGGGCAGGGAATACTAATGATAACTATCATATACAGGTCAGTTAGATATGGGGCTGGAGATCAGGGGGCAGGGAATACTAATGATAACTATCCTATACAGGTCAGTTAGATCAGGGCTAGAGATCAGGGGGCAGGGAATACTAACAATAAATATCATATACAGGTGTTAGATATGGGGCTAGAGATCAGGGGTCAGGGAATACTAATGATAACTATCCTATACAGGTCAGTTAGATCAGGGCTAGAGATCAGGGGGCAGGGAATACTAATGATAACTATCATATACAGGTCAGTTAGATATGGGGCTAGAGATCAGGGGGCAGGGAATACTAATGATAACTATCATATACAGGTCAGTTAGATATGGGGCTAGAGATCAGGGGGCAGGGAATACTAATGATAACTATCCTATACAGGTCAGTTAGATCAGGGCTAGAGATCAGGGGTCAGGGAATACTAATGATAACTATCATATACAGGTCAGTTAGATATGGGGCTAGAGATCAGGGGTCAGGGAATACTAATGATAACTATCCTATACAGGTCAGTTAGATCAGGGCTAGAGATCAGGGGGCAGGGAATACTAATGATAACTATCATATACAGGTCAGTTAGATATGGGGCTAGAGATCAGGGGGCAGGGAATACTAATGATAACTATCATATACAGGTCAGTTAGATATGGGGATAGGGATCAGGGGGCAGGGAATACTAATGATAACTATCATATACAGGTCAGTTAGATCAGGGGCTAGAGATCAGGGGGCAGGGAATACTAATGATAACTATCCTATACAGGTCAGTTAGATCAGGGGGCTAGAGATCAGGGGGCAGGGAATACTAACTATAACTATCCCATACAGGTCAGTTAGATCAGGGGGCAGGGAATACTAACGATAACTATCCTATACAGGTCAGTTAGATCAGGGGATAGAGATCAGGGGTCAGGGAATACTAATGATAACTATCCTATACAGGTCAGTTAGATCAGGGGATAGAGATCAGGGAGTAGGGAATACTAATGATAACTATCCTATACAGGTCAGTTAGGTAAGGGGCTAGAGATCAGGGGGCCGGGAATACTAATGATAACTATCCTATACAGGTCAGTTAGGTCAGGGGCTAGAGATCAGGGGGCAGGGAATACTAATGATAACTATCCTATACAGGTCAGTTAGGTCAGGGGCTAGAGATCAGGGGGCAGGGAATACTAACGATAACTATCCTATACAGGTCAGTAAGGTCAGGGGCTAGAGATCAGGGGGCAGGGAATACTAACGATAACTATCCTATACAGGTCATTTAGATCAGGGGCTAGAGATCAGGGGGCAGGGAATACTAACGATAACTATCCTATACAGGTCAGTTAGATCAGGGGCTAGAGATCAGGGGGCAGGGAATACTAATGATAACTATCCTATACAGGTCAATTAGATCAGGGGCTAGAGATCAGGGGGCAGGGAATACTAATGATAACTATCTTATACAGGTCAATTAGATCAGGGGCTAGAGGTCAGCGGGCAGGGAATACTAATGATAACTATCCTATACAGGTCAGTTAGATCAGGGGCTAGAGATCAGGGGGCAGGGAATACTAATGATAACTATCATATACAGGTCAGTTAGATCAGGGGCTAGAGATCAGGGGGCAGGGAATACTAACGATAACTATCGTATACAGGTCAGTTAGATATGGGGCTAGAGATCAGGGGGCAGGGAATACTAATGATAACTATCCTATACAGGTCAGTTAGGTCAGGGGCTAGAGATCAGGGAGCAGGGAATACTAATGATAACTATCTTATACAGGTCAATTAGATCAGGGGCTAGAGATCAGGGGGCAGGGAATACTAACAATAACTATCCTATACAGGTCAGTCCGGGGTCAAGGAATACTAACGATAACTATCATATACAGGTCAGTCAGATCAGGGGCTAGAGATCAGGGGTCAAGGAATACTAACGATAACTATCATATACAGGTCAGTTAGATCAGGGCTAGAGATCAGGGGTCAGGGAATACTAATGATAACTATCATATACAGGTCAGTTAGATATGGGGCTAGAGATCAGGGGTCAGGGAATACTAATGATAACTATCCTATACAGGTCAGTTAGATCAGGGCTAGAGATCAGGGGGCAGGGAATACTAATGATAACTATCATATACAGGTCAGTTAGATATGGGGCTAGAGATCAGGGGGCAGGGAATGCTAATGATAACTATCATATACAGGTCAGTTAGATATGGGGCTAGAGATCAGGGGGCAGGGAATACTAATGATAACTATCATATACAGGTCAGTTAGATATGGGGATAGGGATCAGGGGGCAGGGAATACTAATGATAACTATCCTATACAGGTCAGTTAGATCAGGGGCTAGAGATCAGGGGGCAGGGAATACTAATGATAACTATCCTATACAGGTCAGTTAGATCAGGGGGCTAGAGATCAGGGGGCAGGGAATACTAACTATAACTATCCCATACAGGTCAGTTAGATCAGGGGGCAGGGAATACTAACGATAACTATCCTATACAGGTCAGTTAGATCAGGGGATAGAGATCAGGGGTCAGGGAATACTAATGATAACTATCCTATACAGGTCAGTTAGATCAGGGGATAGAGATCAGGGAGTAGGGAATACTAATGATAACTATCCTATACAGGTCAGTTAGGTAAGGGGCTAGAGATCAGGGGGCCGGGAATACTAATGATAACTATCCTATACAGGTCAGTTAGGTCAGGGGCTAGAGATCAGGGGGCAGGGAATACTAATGATAACTATCCTATACAGGTCAGTTAGGTCAGGGGCTAGAGATCAGGGGGCAGGGAATACTAACGATAACTATCCTATACAGGTCAGTAAGGTCAGGGGCTAGAGATCAGGGGGCAGGGAATACTAACGATAACTATCCTATACAGGTCATTTAGATCAGGGGCTAGAGATCAGGGGGCAGGGAATACTAACGATAACTATCCTATACAGGTCAGTTAGATCAGGGGCTAGAGATCGGGGGCAGGGAATACTAATGATAACTATCCTATACAGGTCAATTAGATCAGGGGCTAGAGATCAGGGGGCAGGGAATACTAATGATAACTATCTTATACAGGTCAATTAGATCAGGGGCTAGAGGTCAGCGGGCAGGGAATACTAATGATAACTATCCTATACAGGTCAGTTAGATCAGGGGCTAGAGATCAGGGGGCAGGGAATACTAATGATAACTATCATATACAGGTCAGTTAGATCAGGGGCTAGAGATCAGGGGGCAGGGAATACTAACGATAACTATCGTATACAGGTCAGTTAGATATGGGGCTAGAGATCAGGGGGCAGGGAATACTAATGATAACTATCCTATACAGGTCAGTTAGGTCAGGGGCTAGAGATCAGGGAGCAGGGAATACTAATGATAACTATCTTATACAGGTCAATTAGATCAGGGGCTAGAGATCAGGGGGCAGGGAATACTAACAATAACTATCCTATACAGGTCAGTCCGGGGTCAAGGAATACTAACGATAACTATCATATACAGGTCAGTCAGATCAGGGGCTAGAGATCAGGGGTCAAGGAATACTAACGATAACTATCATATACAGGTCAGTTAGATCAGGGCTAGAGATCAGGGGTCAGGGAATACTAATGATAACTATCATATACAGGTCAGTTAGATATGGGGCTAGAGATCAGGGGGCAGGGAATACTAATGATAACTATCATATACAGGTCAGTTAGATATGGGGCTAGAGATCAGGGGTCAGGGAATACTAATGATAACTATCCTATACAGGTCAGTTAGATCAGGGCTAGAGATCAGGGGGCAGGAAATACTAACAATAAATATCATATACAGGTGTTAGATATGGGGCTAGAGATCAGGGGGCAGGGAATACTAATGATAACTATCCTATACAGGTCAGTTAGATATGGGGCTAGAGATCAGGGGTCAGGGAATACTAATGATAACTATCTTATACAGGTTAGTTAGATCACAGGCTAGAGATCAGGGGGCTGGGAATACTACTGATAACTATCATATACAGGTCAGTTAGGTCAGGGGCTAGAGATCAGGGGGCAGGGAATACTAGCGATAACTATCCTATACAGGTCAGTTAGAACAGGGGATAGAGATCAGGGGGCAGGGAATACTAATGATTACTATCATATACAGGTCAGTTAGGTCAGGGGCTAGAGATCAGGGGTCAGGGAATACTCACAATAACTATCCTATACAGGTCAGTTAGATATGGGGCTAGAGATCAGGGGTCAGGGAATACTAATGATAACTATCTTATACAGGTTAGTTAGATCACAGGCTAGAGATCAGGGGGCTGGGAATACTACTGATAACTATCATATACAGGTCAGTTAGGTCAGGGGCTAGAGATCAGGGGGCAGGGAATACTAGCGATAACTATCCTATACAGGTCAGTTAGAACAGGGGATAGAGATCAGGGGGCAGGGAATACTAATGATTACTATCCTATACAGGTCAGTAAGGTAAGGGGCTAGAGATCAGGGGCAGGGAATATTAACGATTATCCTATACAGGTCAATTAGAACAGGGGATAGAGATCAGGGGGGCAGGGAATAATAATGATAACTATCCTATACAGGTCAGTTAGATCAGGGGGCTAGAGATCAGGGGGCAGGGAATATTAACGATAACTATCCTATACAGGTCAGTTAGATCAGGGGATAGAGATCAGGGGGCAGGGAATACTAACGATAACTATCCTATACAGGTCATTTAGATCAGGGGCTAGAGATCAGGGGGCAGGGAATACTAGCGATAACTATCCTATACAGGTCAGTTAGAACAGGGGATAGAGATCAGGGGGCAGGGAATACTAATGATTACTATCATATACAGGTCAGTTAGGTCAGGGGCTAGAGATCAGGGGTCAGGGAATACTCACAATAACTATCCTATACAGGTCAGTTAGATATGGGGCTAGAGATCAGGGGTCAGGGAATACTAATGATAACTATCTTATACAGGTTAGTTAGATCACAGGCTAGAGATCAGGGGGCTGGGAATACTACTGATAACTATCATATACAGGTCAGTTAGGTCAGGGGCTAGAGATCAGGGGGCAGGGAATACTAGCGATAACTATCCTATACAGGTCAGTTAGAACAGGGGATAGAGATCAGGGGGCAGGGAATACTAATGATTACTATCCTATACAGGTCAGTAAGGTAAGGGGCTAGAGATCAGGGGCAGGGAATATTAACGATTATCCTATACAGGTCAATTAGAACAGGGGATAGAGATCAGGGGGGCAGGGAATAATAATGATAACTATCCTATACAGGTTAGTTAGATCAGGGGGCTAGAGATCAGGGGGCAGGGAATATTAACGATAACTATCCTATACAGGTCAGTTAGATCAGGGGATAGAGATCAGGGGTCAGGGAATACTAATGATAACTATCCTATACAGGTCAGTTAGATATGGGGCTAGAGATCAGGGAGCAGGGAATACTAATGATAACTATCCTATACAGGTCAGTTAGGTAAGGGGCTAGAGATCAGGGGGCAGGGAATACTAACGATAACTATCCTATACTGGTCAGTTAGGTAAGGGGCTAGAGATCAGGGGGCAGGGAATACTAATGATAACTATCCTATACAGGTCAGTTAGATCAGGGGATAGGGATCAGGGGGCAGGGAATACTAATGATAACTATCATATACAGGTCAGTTAGATCAGGGGCTAGAGATCAGGGGCAGGGAATACTAATGATAACTATCCTATACAGGTCAGTTAGATCAGGGGGCTAGAGATCAGGGGGCAGGGAATACTAACTATAACTATCCCATACAGGTCAGTTAGGTCAGGGGCTAGAGATCAGGGGGCAGGGAATACTAATGATAACTATCCTATACAGGTCAGTTAGGTCAGGGGAATACTAACAATAACTATCATATACAGGTCAGTCTGGGGTCAGGGAATACTAATGATAGGTCAGTCATATCAGAGGCTAGAGATCAGAAGAAAGGAAATGATAGTTGTATAAATTTGTCATAGAAAAACATAAGACTTAGCTATATCTACAACTGCCATCAAACCACTGAATAGATTTAAATGAATTATTTACAAAATTTAAGGTTCCTGTTGCAAAACTTAGAGCTTACTTTATCTATTTATATGATGGAGATGAGGGTTATCAATTCTGAAAACTGCTCACAGTGTGTCTAAATTTACTACTAGATATTGAAAATTTAGTTGAAAAAAAAACCCATTATATCTAAAATGTTTTTAAAAAATATAAAAGTATTGATTTTGATATTTCAGCATGGGTTGCCAGCATATCCAGTCTCACCACCGATATCACCAATATCTCAAAAGTCTGAAGGATATCTTAGTCTCCAAGGCATTGTTGATCAGGTATCAGAATTCTTTAGTTCAGTAAATGCATTATTATATGAGGTTTTATCAATTTACTCTAATGGTATTGACGGAACTGTTTGAGTGCATTGACATCTATCTTGGCCTGCATGCTTAGTTACAACAAGTTCTTAGATAAGATGTTTTACAAATGAATCTTGGAGTGTTTGACACTGACACTAAGACTTATTTTTCATGGGTAAATGGTATCAATCAAGTTTAAAAGAATCATGTGATCTTTAAGTATAACACAACAGTTCTGGCATAATAAGTGAGCTACAATCTTATTAAACTTGTTTAAGGATTCATCCAGGGAAGTGTTAGGTACTGTAACCTTCCTTTCAATGCAAACAAAACTGAAAGTTACCAAATTTATAACATAACCTATGCAGCCAAATCAGTTTATTTAGTGACCCATGTTGGGGTTGTAATAATACATGTACATAAAAAGGATAACAAGAAATACCAAACTGTTGAACAATACAACAACACCAACCAGCAACTCCTTACTCCACAGAAAAAATAGATGTACAAACAGACAAACGACAACTGGTCCAGATAGCCTTACTTGGTACAGACACCAAATGTAGGAGGGTTAAACCAGTTTGACTTGCACTCAAACCTGACTGTTCTAACTGACAATTCTAGTATTATCAAATAGACTTCAACTGTAAAACTCCTAAATGTATTGGTGTTATAATACTTACATGCCACAACCTGCTGATATTTGATGACATGTTAAATCAAGATTAGCTGCACTGTTGGTTGAACTTTTGATCTTGATGATATACAGTCTTTGCTAGCTTGATAAGACACATTTGTTTCATTGAAGAGCAGCACACTTGAGAAGTAGCTCAAAGTATATATTGTTAAGAGTTGTAGATTTTTACTATTTTTTTGGTTGTCTTTGATTTAATAATCCTAAATATATAACTTATATTTTCAGAGACTGCAAAATGGTGAAGGACCCAAACGAGGGATTACTGTATCATTACCTACTGTTGACTTTGAAACTTCTCCCCAATAAAATACTGTACTAGTCTAATAGTCATAACATAGGTATATCTAGTGCTCAATTGTCATATCATAAAACTTTACTGTTATATTTTGTTGTAAATATACCCTACACTATTTATCCAGTTGTCCATTTTAAGCATTGGTTTAGAGTAGGTATAAAAGTTAGGACAGATGTGAAACATTTTAAGCATTGGTTTAGAGTAGGTATAAAAGTTAGGACAGATGTGAAGGTTTGATGTATGGTTCACTTTATTTTGTTTCTTTCATACAATGCAAATGAGGAACTTAGGTTAGGCTTCATCTATTTGAATTTATGGGAATCTGGGTGGAATGGGTACTTCTAAATCTGATGTCCCTTGTTGGGGGAGTGTGAAAAACCCTTGCAATAACACATATTGAGGATAGTGGGTATTGAGTAACCTTTTGCATAATGGTCTTTTATCCAGTGACAGTCAAAATATAACACCATCACCTGGGATGACTTTTTTGCAGAAGCTGCCTATTATTGCAATGTTTGATTTTTTTCTCGTCTTGAATATGAGTAAAATATTTTCAACTAGTCCTTAACCAAACATCAATCAATCCATCCATTTGCTTCCTGGCTACAACCCCTGGAAGGTTTTCGGGTATCCTTTTGATATTACTATGATTTTAAATTTGAAAAACACCTGTACCAGTCAAATTACAATTCTATGTTGCCATTTAAATTGGTATATTAGCCTATAAAATAGATATTTAGCCTTGAGAATTGAAAGGTCAGTTTATTCATAACATATAGTTGATAAATTTGGCTTCATGTCATTTACATTGTCCAAAATATAGGACCCAGCTTTGATAATCCATGACCAAACTGACTGAGAAAAAGTGCAAGGTTTATTGACACTAAATTGTGTAATAGAAGTACACTTAAGAAAAAAAACAGAAATTTGGCAGAAAAAATCCAACATTGGTGTGAAATTAATTCATTATTAGGTAAAAATTTCAGATTTGATTAAAAAAAATGGAATTTTACATTTCATGTGTTCAAGGTGTGAAGATCATATCAAATCAGTTTGATAAAATGATTTTGAAATATGCATTTGTGACACTACCACCATATTTGTTTTTCATGATCCTATTATTGAAAGTAAGATTGTTATTCCATGGGAGTGTTTTCTAATGAATTGCATTTTGTCAATAATGTTATAGTCCACAAAATGATAAGTAATGTCAATTTCACTCCCCAAGTGCATTTTTTAGATGGCAAAAAATGTAGCAGTAAAGTATAAGTATTTTTAACTTGGTGATGGATTGAATGATTTTTGTGTTGCAAGGATTGTTTTCATTTTAGCAACACATGAAATGTAGCTCAAGATCAGATTCATATAAAGCATTTATAGGTGTCTTGTAATGTGTGTATATGCTATCATAAAATATAGAAAAAATTGGGTACCCATGCTAGATTATTCACAAATTTTCCATTAATATTTTCTGGTAAAAAAATGGATGAATTTTCATGAACTATGCTTCGATTTTTATAATTTAATAAACAGTCCGCTCCTATGTTGTGTCACCAGAGATAATAAGGTCAAGATGACATTGGGAAAATGATTTTTATTTCTTTATTTTGTATTGTTCAAACTGTGATAATTTTATGTTATATATTTACAAATGTTTGTGTATATAATAATCTAGTATACCATTAAAATAGATGTCCGATTTATTTCAAATGAGACACCATAATCCATTTGCAGACGACCATTTGACATCTGTCAACTAACTGTTGGAATCTGTCTCTTTTCACCTAATGTGCTAGGTTAGCTGGAACCAAGCTTTCAATGATTACATGGTACAAGCAAATCTCCAAATTTTTTTATACTACCGCAAAAAATTTGTGTTCCTATAATGCTATCATGTCGTAGTGGTCCGAAGACACATTTGGTTTCCGGACAATAACTTTAGTTTAAGTGAATGGATCTCTATGAAATTTTACCAGAAGGTTCAATACCACAAAAGGAAGGTTGGGATTGATTTTCGGGGTTATGGTACCAATAGTTAAGGAATAAGGGGCAAAAAAAAGCATTTTTGTAGTTTCAGGACAATAAGGGAAGGCTGGGATTGAGTTTGGGGGTAATTGCCCCAAACATTAAGGAATTAGGGGCAAAAAGGGGCCAAAAACAAGCATTTTTCTATATTTCAGAAAATAACTTGTGTTTAAGTGTATGGATCTCTCTGAAATTGTACTACAAGGTTCCATACCACAAAGGGAAGACTGGGATTAAGTTTAGGGGTAATTGCCCCAAATGTTTAGAAATTAGGGGCAAAAAAGGGGCCAAAACAATCATTTTTCTAGTTTCCAGACAATAACGTGTTAAAGTTTATGGAACTCTCTGAAATTGTACATTTTTCCTGAAAAGAAAATAATCTTCCAAATTTAAAAAAAAAATTGGGGGGGGGGGGATTTTTTTTCAAATTTTTTTTTTGGGGTTCATATTTTTATGGGGGTTCATACTTTTTTTCTTCAAGATTTTTTTTGGGAGGGGGATTTTTTTTCATAATTTTTTGGGTTTTTTTTCCCCTAAATTTTCCATTTTTACATTGATTATTTCTGATTTATATATAAAAGCAACAAATACTGATATGGCAGGAGATACACACCAAACAGATATAACAGATTAACTTAAGTATTGTGCAACAGCACAGTATTGCGCTATAGCAAGAAATCTTCAATTGAAAATAAATACCAATCTTTTAACCAATTTCAATGGGATTAAATTAAGTCTTTAATTTTTGGGGGTTCTAATCTTGGATTACTATTTTGGATATTGGGCCTTATTTTTAAATTGGTCTACATTGAGGTCCAAAGGGTCCAAAATTAAACTTTGTTTGATTTCATCAAAAACTGAATTAGTGCGGCTCTATGATATGCTGAATCTTATTGTGCTTTTAGATTTTTTATTTTGGGCCCTGTTCTCAAATTAGTCCATATTAAGGTTTGAAGGGTCCAACATTAAACTTTGTTTGATTTCAACTAAAATTAAATTTTTTGTGTTTTTTTTATATGCTGAATCTAACCATGTTGTTAGATTTTGAATATCAGACCATACTAGGTAAATTAAATGGCCCATTTCAAATTTTTAAGATCTTTGACCACATTTACTTTTTGTCAGAAACCTATATTATGTCAAAAATTAGATCACAATCCAAATTCAGACAGTATCAAGCTTGAATATTGTGTCCAAACTTGCCCCAACTGTTCAGGGTTCGACCTCTGCGGTCGTATCAGGCTGCTCTTGGCGAAGCATTTTATTAAAGGTTGTTCAGGATACAAATGTAATTGGTGGATAGAGGTTGGACAGGTTCAAATGGATACATACTAATACAATTGAATCATCCTTTAGTTAATAACCAATTTCCATGAAATTTTATAGACTACCAGTGTTTATTGAAGTTCCGTATTTTTCATTAAAGAAATGTTCCCTATTTTTAGGATTAGGGAAAATGTTTTGATATATTTGATATATTGCTTATACTAATCACGTAACTTTAACCTTGTTCACTGATCTATGAAATGAGGTCAAGGTCAGGTGGACCCTATCTGACAGACATTCTTTAAGTGCCTGTCCCAAATCAGGAGCCTTTAACACAGTGGTTGTCTATGGTTCAAGTCTGTCATCCTGTGAGTTCATTATTAATAGTTGGAAACCAAATTTGTGGACTTCATGGGTACAGATGAACCACAAATTTAAATTTTCAATGAATTACTAATTTTTAATAGGCTTGTGGGCAGACTTTGGCAAAACCATACAAATGCAAGTTTTCCTCAATCCACGAAAATACATACATTCACAGTATTTGTTTTTCGTAAATTGTATCTTCATAAATAAGCCGGTCAGTTTTCTAGTTTGAATTGTTTCACATTTTTTATGTCAGGGCTTTTTATAGCTGACTATATAATATGAGTTTTTATCATTGCTGAAGGCTAGATACGGTGACCATAACTGCTAATATCTTCATCATTTGAACTCTGGTGGATAGTTGGTCTCTCAATCATACCACATCTCTTTAGTATTACATGTAGACTTTGCAAGGATAACATATACCAAATATTCAAAATAAGAGCGAAACTCACATGACAAACTAGAGCTGTCCGCATAGCAGGAATAATATGCGCATTTTTGTTGCTGCTGTGTAATTCAGTATTGAGGCAATGAATTTTTCGAGATTATTGGTTTTCAGACATGGATTTTATTTACCGGTAATCAACTGTGTATGATTGACACATAGTTACTGATAGGTTAATCTGAAAGAATTATACTGACCCAGGAACAATGTCGGAGGTTTGTATATTCAAGGTCAAGTATGAAGTTTCTGCATAGCATTTTTTTATACGACCGCAAAAAAATTTTGTGGTCGTATATTGGTATGACGTTGGCGTCGTCGTCGTCGTCGTCGTCGTCGTCCGGCGTCGTCGTCGTCGTCCGGCGTCGTCGTCCGAATACATATTGGTTTTCGCACTCTAACTTTAGTTTAAGTGAATGGATCTTTTTGAAATTTGACCATAAGGTTAAATACCACAAAAGGAAGGTTGGGATTGATTTTGGGGGTTATGGTACCAACAGTTAAGGAATTAGGGGCCAAAAAGGGGCCAAAAATGAGCATTTTCTAGTTTCCAGACAATAACTGTGGAACGGTGTATGGATCTCTCTGAAATTATACTACAAGTTTCCATACCACAAAGGGATGGTTAGGATTTGCTTTGGGGGGTTATGGCTCAATCCGTTTAGGAATTAGGGGCAAAAAAGGGGGAAAAACAAGGTTGTCCTGGTTAATGGACAAATACTTTAGTACAAAACATAATTTAAAGCAGTGTAAGGGAGATAAATCAAATACATCATTGAAATTATCTCCCTTACACTGCTTTTAAATTATGTATAAAGTAATGGTTAATGAACAATAAAGATAATCTAAAACAGTGTAAGGGAGGTAATCCAAATACAACATTTTGGTTACTTCCCTTACACTGCTTTTAAATTATGTTTAAAGAAATGCATATTTATAAAGGAAGACCAGTAAAAATATCTGCAAATGTTTTCATCTTTTTTTTTTACAAAAAAATCCATATGAAAGATTTGACACTATATTTTTATTAAGTCTATTATAAAATAGATTAAGTTAGCACTATGGTAAATTTAAATGGGTAATTATGGTTGCCAACTCCATTGGAAATTTGAATTGAGATTATGACCATATCTTGAGGGAAAGAATTTTTTTGGGGGAAAAAGGGGGGGGGGATAAAAAGAAATTGTGGGGGGCCAATTTTTTCTCATTTCAGATTTCAGAAATTAAAAAGAATTATTCTTCAAATATTAATTTTTTTTCAAATTTCAAATATTGAAAAATTTCAAGAAGTAATCTTTAATTGCACAGTATGGCGCATTAGATTTGTAAAATCTTTGATCACATTTATTTATTTGTTATGCCGAATCTAACCGTGTATTTAGATTTTTAATTTTGGGTCCAGTTTTCAAATTGGTCTACATTAATGTCCAAAGGGTCCAAAATTAAACTTTGTTTGATTTTAGCAAAAATTGAATATATGAGGTTCTTTGATATGCTGAATCTAAACATGTATTTAGATTTTTGATTTTTGGCCCAGTTTTCAAGTTGGTCCAAATTGGGGTCCAAAATTAAACTTTGTTTGATTTCAACAAAAATTGAATATATGGGGTTCTTTGATATGCTGAATCTAACCATGTATTTAGATTTTTTATTTGTGGACCCCGTTATCTAATTGGTTCATATTGAGGTCAAAAGGGTCCAAAATTAAACTTTGTTTGATTTCATCTAAAATTGAATTATTGGGGTTCTTTGATATTCCAAATCTAACCGTGTATTTAGGTTTTTAATTTTGGGTCCTGTTTTTTAAATTGGTCTACATTGAGGTCCAAAGGGTCCAAATTAAACTTAGTTTGATTTTAACAAAAATTGAATTCTTGGGGTTCTTTGATTTGCTGAATCTAAACATGTGTTTAGATTTTTGATTATGGGCCCAGTTTTCAAGTTGGTCCAAGATAGGGTCCAGTATTTAAACTTTGTTTGATTTCAACAAAAATTGAATATATGGGGTTCTTTGATATGCTGAATCTAACCATGTATTTAGATTTTTGATTATGGGCCCAGTTTTCAAGTTGGTCCAAATTGGGGTCCAAAATTAAACTTTGTTTGATTTCAACAAAAATTGAATATATGAGGTTCTTTGATATGCTGAATCTAACCATGTATTTAGATTTTTTATTTGTAGGCCCCGCTATCAAATTGGTTCATATTGAGGTCAAAAGGGTCCAAAATTAAACTTTGTTTGATTTCATCGAAAATTGAATTATTGGGGTTCTTTGATATGCCAAATCTAACTGTGTTTTTAGATTTTTAATTTGGGTCCCGTTTTTTAAATTGGTCTTCATTGAGGTCCAAAGGGTCCAAAATTAAACTTAGTTTGATTTTAACAAAAATTGAATTCTTGGGGTTCTTTGATATGCTGAATCTAAACATGTGTTTAGATTTTTGATTATGGGCCCAGTTTTCAAGTTGGTCCAAGTTGGGGTCCAAAATTATACTTTTTTTGATTTCAACAAAAATTGAATATATGGGGTTCTTTGATATGCTGAATCTAACCATGAATTTAGATTTTTTATTTGTGGGCCCCGC